GTGTGTGCTAGGAAAGTTCTCTGCCAAGCGAGCCCCATCGCCAGCTCTTATTTACATCTTCTCTAACAGACACAAATGGGACAGATCAATGGGGTGTGTGGCGGGTTCTGTCTCTGTAATGTGGGCCTTGTACAGTGATCATGTCTAGCTATCAGGATTCCTGTCCTGTCTCACTTCTGCTCAGCACCTTTCCTTGCCCCTAAAAGTTTTCCTTAGTTTCTTCTTGTACCCTCTGTTTTTTCCCCCTTCGTCTCTGTTGTCTGCTATTCCATCCCATGCTTGTAAAAATCAGAGTTTTTACCGGTTTTTACACGAGCGAGAGAATGTGTGGTGTTTGCTTTTCTGTGTCTGGGCTGGTGACATCAACATTCCCTCCATTATGTAAACAATGCTGCAAATGACCAGATTGCATTCTTTATGGCTGTGTGATATTCTGTTGTGTGAATACATCACTTAAAAAAAAAAAAAACAATTAATTAATTAATTTAGCCATTCATCTGTTGAAGGGCTTCTGGCTTGGCTGACAAACAAGAATGGAAGGACACTGTGTCTGAAAGGCTGGTTAGCTGATTGCTTAGAACCTCAGGGGCTATGGAGAGTTTGGATTGTTACAGGCCCAGAACCTAATTGCATCTTATCTTGGGCTATCTTTATGCCCCTAAACAGCCATTTCTTGCCCACCGCTATGTTGGAACTAGCATTCTGTGATGAATGGAGTAAAACCTTTTGGAATGTATTAACTTAATAAAAGCCTTGTTTTCCACCAATAGAAAGGCTAAGATCGACCGTGAGGCCTGTAGCAGTATTCTCTCCATCTTGCTGTAGCCCACCTACCTGTGTACCCGTGCACATATTGGGAAAGTGTTTCGATTCATGGCTTTCCTTGTTCTGCTTCTATGAAAACTTCATGAAACTGCTACCTCATTATTTGGGGGAACCTAACCCTATGTCCCGGGGCCGTGATCACTCGTGTGGTTCTGGGATAAACTCTCCTGTTCCCCTTGAAGTGGGAATTGTGCTTCTGTGACAACAGCCCCATATTTTGGCTATTGTGATTAATACTGCAATAAACAGAGTGAATGTTTCTTATCAGTGTAATGATTTCCTCACAAAAGTATTTTTATTTTTACTTGTATATGTATGCCATTTTCCTATGTATAGAAATGTCACTTCCAGTTTGTTTTGCTATTATATTGTAATGAACATCACCATGTTAGATTTTTTTTATTATTCTGTCATATGTTCCTGACCACAGTGCCCCCTATCCTTGCCCACCTCCCCTCAAAAAAAAGCAGGCCTCCCAGGGACCTCAACCAAGCACGGTGTAACAAGCCACAATAAGACCAGGCACATACCATCACATCAAGATGGACAAAGCATCCCAGTAGGAGGACAAAGGTCCCATAAGTAGGCAAAGAGTCAGGGAGCCATCACCTGCTCCCACTGTTAGGAACCCCACAAGAACACCAAGCTACTGAGCCATATATAACATATATGTAGGAGCCCTAGGTCAGACCCCTACTGGTTTCCTGATCTCTCAAGTTCCCATGAGCCCCGGTCTGCTGATTCTGTGGGCTCTGTTCTCATGGTATGTCCCTGACACCTCTGATCCTCAAATTGTTCATCTGCCTCCTCCACAGGACTCCCCGAGCTCTGCCTACTGTCTGGCTGTGGGACTCTGCATCTCTCCCTTCAGTTACTGGATGAAGTCTCTCTGGTCTCTCTTTGATAACGATTCTGCTAGCCTTTGGTCCCAGCATGAGCCACGACACCTGGTTTCATGTTAGGTTCTTAAGTTCGTGTGTTGGCTTTTTACACTGTAACAGCAATTGATTTGTTAGTCTAGGGTAGTTAGGTTTTACTTGACTTCACCGAACTGCTTTCTGTATCTATGAAGAGTAAAAGTGGTGAGGATTTTTATTCCACCCACATTGCAGCTGGCATTGGTAGAAGTTAGGAATTAAGTAGGGTTTTTTTTTTTTTTTTTTTTTTTTTTTTTTATAGACAGCTACTCAGAGTGACAGGGCGCTACAGAGTGAGATATCTGTGTTCTGGCAAACTCTACACAGATAGTGAGCAAAGCAACTGGACTTAGAAGCTGTGAATTTCAGGAGTTTGGATTCCTCAGGACAGCCAATCACTGGCCCTTTTCCTTTTCACTTCCTGGTTCTCCTGCCTACCTGGAATTTTTTGCCTGGGAAGGCCTTTTTCTGGTAGGTAGGGTTTCCCTGAGACTGTGCTCTCATATCTATGATCCAACCAAAACTTCCCACAGATATTCAAACCAGCCAGTCAAGAATGAATGCCTCAGCTTGATGCCTAGTTTTTATGAGTGCAGCCAATCAGGGTCATTCCCTGGGCACAAAGGGAGCCTGCATGTATGTCTGTGTTCATAGCTGGTGCCAGAAGAGGGCGTCAGATCTACTGGAAATGGAGTTACTCATGGTTGTGATGGAGATCAAACCTAGGTCTCATGGAAGAGCAGCTGGTGCTCTTCACTGCTGAGCTGTTTCTCCAACCCCCCTTTTTAACTACTTGGCAAAGCAACTGCTCCCTTCCTCCCCTCCCTTCCCCTTTCTTCCCTTCTTTTCTCCCCCCCATTTCTTTCTTTCTTTCTTTCTTTCTTTCTTTCTTTCTTTCTTTCTTTCTTTCTTTTTTAAGTAGCCCGGGTTTTTCTGTGTAGCCCATGCTGTTCTGGAACTCACTTTGTAGACCAATTTGAGGCACGCCTCAAATTCAGAGATCCACCTGCTTCTGCCTCCCCAGCACCAGGATTAAAAGTGCTACCATCTCCTGGTTCCCTTTCCCTTTCTCCTGTGTGGCATTTTTCCCTGTATACCAAGCCATCCCTACCAGTGGCCAACTGACCTCTAATTCAATCCGATTACGACGCTGAATGGGGTTGGAACCCAGGGTGTGGGGTCGGAACCCAGGCTAGTCTGCTCCAGCTTTAGACACCATGTGTTTCCCAGTGAGGAGTGTGCTCCTTGTGGTTTTGACTACACGCTACAGACCCCACATTATTCTCGGGTTTAATTAATTTGGGGGGATGGCTCCCAGAACTATAGCAAACATGATTGCTGTTGATCAAGAAGGATATGATGGAGGGTAGAGAGTGACACAGGAGGAGCGAGCGCAAAGCTGCCTTCTCTGGGTGCTTATCCTTCAGTATCCCTGGATGTTCAGTAACTCCAAATTCTTCAAATCTTTTGTTCCAGAAGTACTTTAAAAGGAGGGGGAGGGGAAAGGGGGGAACTGGGGATCAGACTCAAAGTCCTGTGCACACTAAGTAAGTGATCTGCCATTGAGTCACACCCTAGCTCTTCCTACCTTCTGCCCTCTGACCATCCCTACGAATTTCATTGTCAAAACACGGGTGATGTTTTAGGCAGAGACTTGCTGTTTGTCTCAGACTGGGCTTAAACTCTTGGGCTCAAGCATCCTTGGACCAGAACCTCTGAGGAATAAAAGGGCCTCAATATAAACAACAACAACAACAACAACAACAAAAAACTCCTGCTATTTAGGAAACTCTAAGGATTTTTGATGTTTTGTGGCAGTGTTGGAGTTCAGGAAAAACACAACACCAGAATATGATTTCAGGAGAAGATGTTATGCCAAGATCACGAGACCCTCAGAGACCACCAGGAGACAACTCGATGCAAGAGAGCTTTATTACAAGAGCGATCGAACTCAGGACCCAAGTCTCACTGACAAAGCAGTAGAGACCCCGAGCCCTGGGTGAGCAGGATTTTTAAAGGGAAAAACCGTAAGCAGGAGTTTCCACAACAGCAAGCAGGGAGGTTCATGCCTTGACATTACAGCATTGGTTAAAAGCCATAGGGGCGAGGTGACCTTCTACATAATCACAATTGCCATTATTCTAAACTACATCTGGAACGTTGGGGAGAATTTTCCCAACCGATTCTCATTGATTGTTGCCAGGGAGATTCTCTCTATTTTCTATTAAGTATTTATTCTGTGATATTTCCTGGAGGCTGTTGCTAGGAGGGTTAACTTTGTTTTCTGTTAAGTGCACATTCTGTGATATTTCCTGGAACCTGAATTCAGCTCCCAGTCAAAATGGCTTCTCATTTCAAAATGGAGTCACCCAGGCTAACTTAAATTCTTCAAAGAGAATTTCCCACGCCCTTAATATGCTTCCTTCCTGTTATCCCGACAAGCCGTGGGCATAGGAGTGGCTCTCTAAAGCTGTCCTTTCATAAGAGACATTCAGGAAGAAACCTCTGTTAGGACAACTGCTTGCCTCAGGAAGAGGAGGCTGCAGATAACTGCCACCACCAGAGAGATTTTCATCTGACACAGGGCAGCGTTTCTTCCCCCTCACAGAACGTGCACCTTCCTGCACTCTGCCGCACCGAATGCCCCCTCTGTTCTGCAGCTCAGCTTGCTGTGCAAGCTCTCCTCAACTGAAGGGACTTCCATATGTTTCTCTCCCCTTTGTCAGCCTTCTGTTAGCTTAAACAGTAGCTCAGGCCAAGCACCCAGAACAAGTACTAAATAGCGATGGAAAGAAAAATCGTTTGTATTCATTGGCAGCTCCTGCCTGTTGTTGATCTGCCCTGAGCTCAGCCTGGCTAGCTATGGACTTCATGGAGCCTGCCCTTTCCTCCCCTCAGAGAGAAGCCAGGGCAGGAGCAACCTAGTCATCTGTGCTACTTATCGTGAATGTCCTTGTCCGCATCCTGGCCCCTGCGCTAGCAGCTTTGTCCTAGGCTGGGGCTCTGTATTCCGAATGCAGGAGCAGAAATGATGGAGGGTTCTTTTACCTTGTTTGCCTAAAGCTGCTTGGAGGCTTGGGTGGCAAGGTGCCCTGACTGGACTAAGAACACTGTTTCCTCTGGAGCTGTCGATCAGAGTTCTAATCAAGAAGGACTGGGACAAGAGAGGCTGAAATTAAGCCAGCAGGAAGGGACTTTATGGGGGCGGGGCTAAGGTAGGGGATGGAGAACTCTTTAAATAAGAGATGCACTGGCTGCCAGGGAGTGCCCAGCACAGACAGCGAACCAGAAGCCAGGCCGAGAGCTGCCTTCCACAGTGTCTTCTGTCTGTCTGCCAGGAGGAGCAAACCAAGGGAGATGATGGAGCCCAACGAATACCGAGCTAGAGGTGAGTGAAGGGTAAGTGGGGGTCTTCCCTGAGGGTAAGGCTGTGGAAAACTGCTCTTGGGGTCAGGTGACTGCTCCAGCTGCTTCGGGAGAGCTGGCTTCAGCTGTTCCTCCTGAATGGGATGCAGATCAGAGTTTAAACCGTTCCCTCATTCCCTCATTCCCTCTCATGTTCCCACTTCCAGGCACGCTGCTTGTAGCTTGCATTTCGTTTCCTTTCTACCTGCCCACAGAATAAGTCTTCTGCATTTGTGATCCACTGAGTTATCTAATGAAGAAGGAAAAAAGAAGTTTGTGTCTCAAATATTTGATAGCAAGACCTTCTTAATGTTCATTTCTCTGTGTGAAGTAGTTTATTCTTCTTTTAGTGTTCACTCCCTAAGTGTTCTCCAAGGCTTGCATGAAAAGCAAAACCAAACAGTTACCCTGTTTTCCAGCCTGGCTGTCTGCAAAGGGGAAACTGGTAATTGCTTAAAGGGAAGTTTTAGGACACATCCGCCAGAGTCACTTGTGACGTGATGATTGTGGTCCTGCTTTTTTCCATTTAGTAACCAACTGTAACTAACTGTGATACCCACCAGCTTAAAATGAAGGTTCTTCTAAACGCCTATGCGACCAAAGAGAATTTTGAGCGTCTTCGTAATTTTGTAATAGTCTTGTCTCCACCGCCGCTGGGTCAGGCTGTAAGTTAAGGTCCTGTCTTAAGTCTGACCTCTCCTCTCCCCACCTCTCTCAGCCTTGGCAGGTAGATGTGTGTGCTCTCCAACCGTGCACTTAGCTGAGAGCGAGGGTCCCTGTCCTGCGATGGAGCGCGCAGTCCTATGAGCCTGTCCCTCTCCTAGGATGAGTGGCAGCTCTCTTGTGTCGCTGGGCACCACTGCTGGGTGCCCAAGGCTGTGGAGGGCTGAAGAAGTCAAGCCCCCTGACTCCTCAGTTTTGTCGAAGTCTGGTTCTGTGCGTAGGAGCTTGGCATGAGCTGATGTACGGGGAATAAGTCAGGTTGCTTTTCTTCTTTGCTCATTTTCTCCTTTGCAGGGCACAGGAGTGGAGGGGGTGTTTAGGGAGGGCTTCTGGTGGGGAGAGCGAGTGAATGTGAGAGAGCGCACACACACCTCTGAAGACCAAGGCCCCTGAATAAATTATAGGGGAGAAAGAATAGCTGAGCTGCAGTGGTGTGGCTTGGCAGTTTTTTTTCCTTACCTCTTCCTCGTTCATTTGGTACTGTTATGTGAACATAAAAGGCATGTGCCAAGCCCTGCAGAACAGCACCAGGGAGCTGTGGGTGTCATGTTGGTTAACAAGTTCTTGTTTGGGTTCCTGGTTGTGCTTTAGCATGTTTCATGTGCCTCAGAAATTATATGTGGCGCTGTGTGTGTGTGTGTGTGTGTGTGTGTAAACTTCCAGTTTTAATCACACTCAGAAGATGTTGCCAAGAACAAAGATGAGAAGGTGCCGATTTAATGGGTCTAGCAAGATGTTTTCTTCTTTTCTTATAGCTGGGTGTGGGAGCTTTCATCTGTGCTGACAACATAGTACATGCGAGTGTGTGGTGTGTGTGTGAGTGTGAGTGTGAGTGTGTGTGTGTGTGTGTGAATGTGTAGCCAGTCTTGGATAAAAAAAAGCCACCAAGTCTCTGCAATGAGACTTTCAGGTAAGAAAGTAATAGCTACTCTGTTTCTGAGAGGACAACTGTGGAAAGTAGATGCATGGGCAGGTAAGGGGAAGGGGAAGAAATGTTTCACTTTGGTGCTAAGGTTTTGTGCTTTGTACAGTTTCCCCTTTGCTCATCTGTCCTCTCACATGCTCTTTCTGTCAGTCATTCACACCCTCACCCTCAAGGTCCTGTTGGGAGTCAGGTCTACACTGCCCACGAATCTATCTCCCTTCACCAAGTCTTATATCGGGGTCCAAGAGGGACAGGCATGGACAGGCCAAGGAATCGTGACCTGGTTCATCTGCTTCTGTCCAGGAAAAGAGATGGTGGATTATATCTGCCAGTACCTGACCACAGTGCGGGAGAGGCAGGTGACTCCCAATGTGCAGCCTGGGTACCTGCGAGCCCAGCTTCCTGTGAGCGCTCCTGAGGAACCAGACAGCTGGGACAGCATCTTTGGGGACATTGAACGAATCATCATGCCTGGGGTGAGCAATAGCAACTGCCAGGGTGATTCCAGATTTCAGGGCACATGGGGATGGATGGACGGTACCCTAAGAAATTCTCACTTGAGTCAGAGTGGCGGATGACACCTCACTCCCACCTTCCGACATAGACATAAGAGCCCATCTTGTAGGAGGGGAGGGCTATGTCTCTGCTTGGAAGTAGGTTTCTCATGCCAGTGATGCACTGTGGTACCAATGGGGAGGAGCAGAGGCCAGCAGAGTGGTCAGCTGGAGTGGATGGAGTCATGTAGGCTGTTTTGAAGTAAAGGGACAATTGCGAAGCCAGGAAGGAGAGCAGAGATCAGGGACAGTGCCTGCAGCTCAGTAGACAGGGCCTGGGACTCGCCTACCCAATCTCTGAAATCTTACCAAATGGAGGGAATAAAATGGAGAATACAAGTCCCCAGGAGCACTCTAGCTGCCAGGAAGACGTGGGCAGCTGGGAGCCCATCAGCCAGCCCACTCCGTCCTCTGTGTCATCCTTACCAGGAAGTCTGGTGACAGAGTTGCCTCTTGGAGGCAGGAGAGAGCTTTTCTGGCATTACTGATATGTCCCATGACAGAAGAGGGGGCAGCCTAAGGTGACAATGGCTTGGGCTGGAAACAGATGGAAGCTGACTGATGCGTGAGACTTGAGCTGGTGCTCACTGCCCTGGGCTGTGAGGGCATCCGTAGTCATCAGGAATAAGTAGTTCTGCTGAGGTGACCCTGATAACATCACCCTGGTTCCCTTCCCTGCCCTACACAGGTGATATGCCAGCCATGATGAGATGTTTCGTCTAACCTTCCTAGTGACCCATTTGACAATCCGGGAAACTGAGGCCCACAGAAGTTCATTATTTTGCTCCAGGTTCTGTGTGGCAGACCTGGGATTTCAGCCTGAGCTGTCTAAACCCCAGAGGCTTCTCCCATGCTTGTATACCTCTGTGGCAAGTGGCCGAGAATCTCCAAACTGCCCCTGGCCCTGGCAACACCCACTCCCCTCGAGCTGTGTGCCTCTAAAAGCTCTTCCCCCTGTTGACTTGAGGCCCCATCAGTCCCCAACAGCTTTGATCTCAGATGTGACAGATGTGTCTACGAGTCAGGATGAGCAAATGTTCGAACTCAGAAAGGACACGCTTGCCACGCAGTCAGTTTCACAAGCACCTTTGAGGAATGTCCGTAAGAGTACAACTTTTCAAAGGCCACGTCCCCTGATAAGATTATCTCACCAGTTTTCATTGTGTGACGCCATCGCCTCAGGGGCTAACTGTAGTCAGGAGTGAGGCTGAGAGCAACAGTTGGTGCAGCTGATGGAGGAAGGAGTCGAAGCAGTTTCCAGTGGGCGTGGCCAAGGAGGCTCATTTCTGGACTTGGAGGTCTGTCTGCTTTGATAAGGGCTCTTCTGGCTTGTCTCATCTGATTATTTTATAAGAACTGATAACTGCAGCTTGATAAGGCCAGGGGGTGGAACCCTTCCTTTGTTTCCAAAGTGAGAATAAGGGCCCAATCTTCCATCTCATCTTCTAGGCCCTACGGGTCAGCCTGGAAGTAGCTGGCCCTTTGCATTCTTATTGAACTGGATGTGTTTTTTTTTTTTCCTTCTACTTCCTACACACAGAGGAAAAAAAATGAGTTTGCTTTAATTCCAGTCTTTTCAAGAAAATGAGAGAAAAAGAGGAGGCAAGCAAACAAGCTTAGTGAGGAAAGGAGCTTGTGGGCAAGCCTGAGGACCCTAGTTCAAGCCCTGGGACCCATGTGGTAGAAGGAAAGAACAGACTCCCTCAGACCTTCAAAAGTGCACACACAGGACACACACACACACACACACACACACACACACACACACACACATTATAAAAATTAAAAAGAAAGAATATGAGACAGAGAGGTGAGAGAAACCCAGTGAGGGAAGGCAGGGTACTGGTCAGCTAGGGTGTGTGGGTGGAGTCTGGAGTGGGCAGCCTTGGGACCTGGATGATGTTTGGGACTATGTGATGCTACCTCTCTCTGCCACTTCCATTCCTCATCGATAAAGCAGGGATGAGGCTTGGACCTCTTGGGGATGCTGCAAGAATTAAATACGATAAAGCATGGAAGGTGGGAGATGTTGGAGCTGCCTGCTGGTCTCCGGCTTGTCGAGAATTGAAGGGAGAGGTTTGCTAAGAGTCAAGTCAGGTTGTGTGTCTGTTATCTAGTGGCTAGTTCCCTGTTAATATTACCACCTTACAAGAATGGCCAGTTTCTTGTTCATGTTCATCTTCTTAACAGTCGTAGGATTTGTTTTATGATGAGGAGGCACAGGAGAGGTTTCTGGTTTTGTAAGGGTCTGAGGTGTATAAATATTTTGAGATCATCTTTAAGAATAATTGAAAATGGATCTCGAAGTCGACTCAGGAAAACATGGGGCTTTGGAGCTTAAATTCCTGAACTTCACAGTACGTCAACAAGGAGCTAGCCGACTGAGGGCAAGAGTAGCTGTGGGTCCTGTGTCCTTGAACTTCACTGTGACTCTCGTCCTGTGTGGCACAGTGTTTGTGCTACAACGATTGCAAGAATTTGTTCACCCAGAACAGAGTGGTGCACTTAGACGCTCCTCAGGGAGTTGTCAGGAGAGGAAACATCCAGGCTCAGCGTTACTTGGGCTCAGGGGATCAGTGTGGGCTGTAGGCGCTGTGGAAAGGCTCATGAAGAAAAGGTTGGTAGTTTCCTAAGAATCAACAGGTCTTGGAGGTCACGAGGAGTCAGAGGTGAACACAGGTGGAAGCAGGACGGGAGAATGGGTCAGACACTGAGCAGATGGACACTGAGTATGTGTGGTCCCCTAGAGGAGGGTCCTCCCAGGTCCTTGTATCCTTGACTGTGGGCTCAGGGTCAGCCTAGAGTTTGCCTCTCAAGCACTTCTCTGTCCTTAGCTCTCCTGACTCTACCCTCACTGTGAAGCCAAGGGCGGCTTAGAACACATCTCTCTGACTCCCAGCGGGACCTTTCCTCCCAGAGACCTCAGTGATCCATAAAATGATAGAAGCTCTGGCCAGAGCCGACCTTACAGTGTCTGTTTCCTCCTTATTTCTGGCATCAGTGTGGGGTTAATGGTCGAGTCCCATGTCCCTGTTACCGCAGCAGTCTTCGCTTCTCACAATTTCTTTTTGATGTGCACAGAGGTTCTCTACTGATGAGCTAGCTCAGTCAGGGATACATGGAGAGGGAGAGAGAGAAAAGAGTAAGGAAAATGCCTTATTCTTGTGGAGTGTATTACTTGCCTGTCTGAAAAAAACTGTTAGAGTTGTCTCTTTTTGCCCTGAGAGGTTCTCTAGAGGAAGAGGGGGCTTTCTGGGTGCGCCACCTGGGGCCAACCGTGTGCGTGGTGTGTGTGCTCTCCTTCTAGGTGGTACACTGGCAGAGCCCCCACATGCACGCCTACTATCCGGCCCTTACGTCTTGGCCATCCCTGCTGGGAGATATGCTGGCTGACGCCATTAACTGCTTAGGATTCACATGGGTGAGCAAAAAATGCCTGTAACCACTGATCCCCGGGGACACAGCGGGTGCCGCTTCAGGGCAGACGAATGGGGTGTCTAAGGGAATGCTAATAATGGAGTACTAATTGAAAATAAAAGCATATTCAATATCATGGCGGCTGTATCATTAAAACTTAGCCTTTGTATAAATTATCTCATCTCATCCTGTAGAATCACGAGAACTGGCGCCATTATACAGATGAGGAAATTTGAGGTTTAAGTAGTTTATCTTCCTAAATCCACAGTGCATAGACAGACTCCGGATGAGATCTGAGCAGAGATCTGGCTATTTCTACAGTTTGTGACCTTAATGGAGCACTTTGATGCCCGTTGGGCCACAGCTTCCCCTGGGCTCTGTCTCTGAAGAGTTAGATATATGTTCTGGGATTTCCCTTGAGCTCCACTCAGAGGTGCCAGAAGCCTCGTGGAACAGTCTTATCTCTTAAGCTTGAACTTTTGCAGCGAGTAGGAGGTTGAGGAGAGTCTGACTCGGGCCGTTATCTTGGGAAAGAACACTGTAATTCCTTAGTAAACAGTTTCCCGTGGGCTTTAGGATACCAGCTGGGTGTTTTAGGGACTCGGACGGCCAAAGTCAAGCCAATTGTTTCTGGGTTATTTTCCCACAGAACCCTCGAGAACTGACCTCACTGAGAGCAGCTTAGATCCAAAGCCCCCATTCCTTCCCTCTCTGAAAGAGGAGGGTAGCATGGGAGGAACGGGTGCATGCATCCTGGGCCCCCTGGCCTTGACTCCTCCTCTGCAGAGTCAAGAGTCCTTTTCGCTATTTCGGCAGGGACACTGATGTTTCCGGGGCTGGTGGGGGCATCTCCTTGCCCGTGCTCAGTGCAAATGAGCGTCCTTTGCTTCTTTCAGGCTTCTAGCCCAGCGTGCACAGAGCTGGAGATGAGTGTCATGGACTGGCTGGCGAACATGCTGGGGCTGCCGGAGCACTTCCTGCACCACCATCCCAGCAGCCAGGGGGGCGGCGTGCTGCAGGTGCCTCTAATGACGACCTTCTGTCTCACACAGAGAGCAAAGGCGACTCCTTCCCCACTCACCTCAGCCCTTCACTGTCACATCCTGCAGCATCATTATAGCTTGCACCTCCTTCAGCGTCCAGTCCATTTGTGCCACTGTCTTCACCACTTTCCCTTATGGGAAACAGATGAGCTCAGCACCTGATTATTACGGGCCCGGGTGTCCTTGACTCAGGTTTCATAGCTTACAGTCTGACATGTCTCTCCTGTAATTCTGTGCTGGTCTGTTATACCTGTGGCATGAGGAAGGGCGGAGTAAGGAGAGACATACCTCTGACCCTGTCTTTTGCTAGTTCTCTCTTCAAATACTTCTGTTTTTCAAATAGTAACAGCTCAGGGCCCAGCTCTGTGAGCCACCCCCCCACCCCCCCACCCCCACCCCCCGCCGCAGACCTAGCTCATTGGTAAGATGCTGTTGCTCTTGACATCTGAGGGAATGGTTTGGAGAACTTTGGGAGTCCTTGAATTCTGTGATAGTATATCCATATCCTGCTTCTATAATCTATAAAACAGATAATGATGTTTCCCTAAAGAGCAGATAAAAGGATTAGATAAATTAAATTACCCTCAGTGTTCTGAGGGGGAGGCCTTGCTAAGTTTCCTGGAACCGCTAGCTATCTAACCGAACTCCACCCCTATTCTTGCAGTGAGATTCAGTCAAACACATTCTTAAGGCAAATGTGTTTGTCTCAGGCTTCCTATGAGCAGACAGAACTTGGGATATATTTGGGAAAATACAATTTCTAGTGTACACATCTTGCTTGCCTTTTTTCTTTGTTGTTGTTTGTTTGAGACAGGATCTCTTCCTGTAACCCAGGCTAGCCTGGCATTCACTATGTAGCCAAGGCTAACCCCCGACTCATAGCAATCCTCCTTTATCATGCTGCTGAGTACTGAGGTTGCAGAGGTAAGCAGGTGAGCTTGCTTTCCATCGGATCTTCCCAATGCCCTGGTGGGTACACAGCATCAACTCCGCGACCGTAAGATCTTGACAGAGCTCAGAGACCTTAAATAACAGTTGCTAAGTGAGAGAAATAAGATTCTAAGTCAGGAATGTCTAAATCCAAACCACTCTCTCTTCTGCGTTCATCGGCCACCTGAATTCGAGCTATTCCTACAACCTTCTGAACACCATTTCCTCATCTGTAGTGCTAAGACAGCCATCTCAGAGAGGTGTTTGAGGATCAAATGGGACAGGGAGTGTCTTGTAAACTACAGATTGTGGTACGGATAGGAGGTGAGATTATCACTGATATGTCTTCCTCGTTATTTCGTGATGTTCAACCACTGAATCGTCTGGGGTTCTGATCTACCCATGTCTACCTACTGTCTACTGCCCATGACAGTACCCACTTGGCTTTTCAGCGGATCCTATAAGCTGTAGCTCACCTGGATATTTCACGAAGTAAATGCTGAGTGGAGAGAGGTCAAAGGTTTCTGAGACACAGCTGATAGGTCCTCCAGGCCCCTCACAATCATGGCTGGAGAAAAACTCAGCCAGCCTTGTCTGCCTTAAGGGGCAATTTCTTTAATGGGGATGCTCTTCATTTGGTAGACAAAAATGGGTCTCCAGAGGGAATGGTAACCAAGTTGACAAGAACTATTGAAAACAACCAGGCTAAAAGCACCAGCCCCTTGCACAAGCCCGCACTCTCTCTGGGGTGTCCTTGTGGATACAAACCCCATTTTCATACTGGAAAAACTTTTCCTGTCTTTTCCCTCCCTATCTTTTTCTCTTTCTCTCTTTTGTGATGGGGAGCAAACACAAGGCAGAGTGTAGGTTAAAATGGGCTCTACTACCGAGATATACTTCCAGCCCTAAGTATATATTTTTTCTTTTCAGTAATTTTTACATGGCTAGCAAACATATTCACAGCAAATGGAACATTCTCTTGCTTGTTCCTGAAGCATTCTTTTTCTTGTTTTGGTAGTCGCTCTGAGAGGTGTTGGCATTATGTGCAAACTTACTTTCAGAATGCAGAATACATATGTGAGTCTGGAGGAAGGAGGCCCTTTGGGAAGCAGTGACCCACTTCCTTATTAATAGTGATCACATACACACACACACACACACTACTGGGAAACAGGACATAGAGAGGCTGACACGCTTGGCAATCCCTCTCCACTACAGAGCACCGTCAGTGAATCCACTTTAATCGCCCTGCTGGCAGCACGGAAGAACAAAATCCTGGAAATGAAAACGTCTGAGCCCGACGCGGATGAGTCCTCTCTGAACGCTCGTCTTGTTGCCTACGCCTCTGACCAGGTAACTTGCTTGACATAGGTCCCTCATGTCAGGGCTTGGCTCCGGAGTCTTAGTACCTGTGTCATTTTCATCCATACCTGTGAATCCTGGGTCTCAGGGAAGTTTGAGCCTGCGTATTGATTTCAGAAACCACAGTGAAGGCAGATTTCCAGCATGGGTATTAACTCCTTCTGTCTTGGTCTTCGGCCACTCCTGGTCATACTCATGTCACCGTGGCCCTTTGCTGACTGAAGCTTTCCTTGGCCCATGTAGGCTCACTCCTCAGTGGAGAAGGCTGGCTTGATTTCCCTGGTGAAGATCAGATTTCTGCCCGTGGATGACAACTTCTCACTGCGCGGCGAGGCTCTCCAGAAAGCCGTTGAGGAAGACAAGCAACAGGGCTTGGTGCCCGTGTTTGTAAGTCAGAATGTATCTTTGAGATCAGAGTGCTAGAGCATGAATGTTAGCAAGCAAGGGATTTTGACAGAATCCTGGTAAATTAATAGAAGTAGAAAATGCCTTAAGTACCCTTTAGTGTTTTACAAATTATGAGGTGTTTCCTTTCTTTTCCTTCCTTTCTTTTCTTTCTTCCTTCCTTCCCTGCCTCTCACCCCCTCTTGAGATGGGGTTTCTCTGTGTAGCCCTGGCTATTCTAGAACTCACTTTGTAGACCAGGCTGGCCTTTGCTTCCTGAGTGCTGGGACTAAAGGCATGTATCACCACACCTCACTCAAGGTGCACTTTCTTGATGTGTTATGAAATAATATTTATGGGTTGTAATCATTGCTAAAAAGAAACGGCAAATATCCAATTGCATTTATGCACCCAGAGTATATTTTGTTCTGTGAAACTTTTATTTTGGGTTTATTTTATTTTATTTTATTTTATTTTATTTTATTTTATTTTATTTTATTTGAGATAGGGTCTCACTATGTAGGCCTGGTTAGCCTTGAACTCACAGAGACTGATCTGTCTCTACCTCTTGAGTGCTGGGATTAAAAATGGGCGCCACCACACCCGGTGAAACTTTCATTTTAAATGTACATGTGTGTGTACTAGGTTGCTGTGTAAAGTGGCTTTCTTACTGCGAGTTATGATAAAATAGAGCGTGAAATATGCACTGTTCTGTGTGAGGGGGCGCAGGCGGCAGATGATGTCGGCGAGGGGAGTCTTGTTCAGGCTCAGTGTGTCATGTGAATCTTTAATTCTCTGTAGGTCTGTGCAACGTTAGGAACCACCGGAGTCTGTGCATTCGACAGGCTGTCAGAGCTGGGCCCCATCTGTGAGTATCTGTCTTTTTTGGTGGGAGGGAGGGAAATCACCAAAGGTCGTGAGACTCACTCCCCAGCAGCACGGGTCGTTGGGCTTTTCCTAGCGGTGAGATAAAAGCCAGAAATTCTGTACTTTGCATTATGTCCTTGGAAGCATCAGCTCTTCATCGCTGTAATACCTCAGATAATGAAACTATAAAGAGCATTTTATTCTGTGTGCTTGCACACAGCTTGGAAACAAAGGTATCCACTGGCAGACTATGTGATGAACTCACAGTTTTGGAGGTTTCCAGTCTACAATCAGTTGGCCCTGTCACTTTTGGACCCAGAACGAGGCACCAAAGTTAGAGAGTAACCAACAGCACATCACAAGCCAGGGAGTAAGTTAGAGAAAAACCAACAGCATACCACAAGCCAGGGAAGGAGAGAGGGGAAGAGATCAAAGTCCCATCATCTCCTCGAACTACACTCCAATGACCTGCCTATAGGCTCCATCTTTAAAGGTTTCACCCAGTATTGACACCCTGAGGAACAAGCTTTTAACACGAGAACCTTTAGGGGACATGGACGATCTGAAGTATGGAAGACTCAAGTCTTCACATTCTCTCACTTGTAATGTTGCAATTTATTCAAAGCAGACTGTACTTTAGACAGCTTCTGGAGAAGAAAAGGGCAACTCAGGAGACACCGCGGGATGGATAAGACAGAGAAGAACCCCAGACGTGACTGCTTAATTCCCTAGTGAGAAGCCCACCAAGGGCAGACCTCTCTCTAACTGCTGCTAGACGTGTTGACGTTGTTTTCTGGGCTGTAGAGCAGTCGGATTTTGTGCTAGGGTGTTCTGGGTTGAGGCTAAGGTCGCAGTGGCCCTCCGCGCAGTGGGGGAAGACCCACGCATTAGGAGGCAGCTTCGCCGCTTTCATACCTGCCATCTCATCTCCACAACTTAGTGACTCCTTCAGCAAAGCCCGCCATCCTTTTCCAGGTCTTCTCTTTGCAGCCTGCCACGGTGTTGGCCAGGTGCGCGGTGCCTTTTGGCTGGGGGTAGCAGCTCTCCACGGCCCCCACCCCCCAGCAGACGGCATTTGCTTTCTCAGGTGCCAGGCAGGGGCTGTGGCTCCACGTCGATGCTGCTTACGCGGGCACGGCCTTTCTGTGCCCCGAGCTCCGGGGATTCCTGCAGGGCATCGAGCATGCCGACTCCTTCACCTTCAATCCTTCCAAGTGGATGATGGTACACTTCGACTGCACTGCGTTCTGGTGAGCCGAGCTCTGAGCGTGGAAATGCCTCCCCTCCCTGGCGAGACCTCGCCGCTAACACCTGCTTGAAAACCCACAGGGTCAAGGACAAGTACAAGCTGCAGCAGACCTTCAGCGTGAACCCCATCTACCTCAGACATGCCAACTCCGGTGCGGCCACTGACTTCATGGTGAGTTTCCAGGAGCGCGCAGCCTGTGGCTTCTAAGATGGGACTGTTGGCAGACTTGAGGTTTTGCACGGCTGCTTCCCTCAAGAGGCAGCATGCTGTGAGTTCATCATATAGTCTGCCACTGGATACCTTTGTTCCCAAGCTGTGTGCAAGCACACAGAATAAAATCCAGAAAATATTTAAAAAAACAAGAAACAAACAAAAAAACCACCCTAGGAAAAATCACAGTTTCTGAATTCTTTCGGTTTGTTTTCCTCCCAGATGGGATGTGTTCTCTCCGCCACAGGTAGATCTGACCCTTTTACCATCTTTGGCTGTTTTTGTTTGTTTGTTTGTTTGGTTTGGTTTGGTTTACTGCCCAGCAGGAGAGTGCAGACCATTTCCTCTGGTGGGAAAGCGGCTCCTTGTTAAATTGCTTTCGGGTCCCTCTCCTTGACACAGGCCGTGCAGAAGTTCTGTTAGGAGGATGAGACCCTAGGGTCCTCTGTGAGGCTCTGGATGTCTCCAGCCTTCCAGGCTGCCTACACCTCAACTCTTTTAGGCTCTCAGCATGTCCCATGTCTTAGGGAAGCAAGTTTGAAGATGAGCCCTCGTTTTAGGTGAGACTGGGGGATGAACAAGCATGGAATACATCATGCTGCCAGTGAAAGGTTTGCACGGCGAACGTGGGTGCTTGGCTTGGAATTCTAGGCGTCCGTGGTAATCTGAGAAACTACTGAAAGTCCCTAGGAACGTGGCACTGACTTCATACAGGGGTCTATGAGGTTTTGACAGGAACAAACAGGGTGACTTAGCACAGTGTCCAGGTGGCAAATGCACAACAAATCATGTGCATGAGACACCGGGAAGCTCTTCAGTTAAGCTGCAGAGGTTTACTATTCCAACATGGCCAGACACACAGCACCAAGGCTGGATTTGCCTGTGTGTGAAGCCCTGCTTCTCCTCTGACCCATCTGAGTGGTCTTGGACAAAGGGCTTGGGTTCTGTCTAGGTTTTTCTTTCTGCAAACAGAGACAGGAACAGTTCTGCCTTCTAAGCCTGCGGTGAGAGCAGAATGAATTAATACAGTGACAGTCTGTCAGTGAAGCCTTGGTGAAGAGCTGGTTTGTTTTTCTCCCTGGACAAGCAAAGCGGCTTTTCCTTTTATTTAGTTCTTCAGTAGTAGCGCTGTCATCACATTACACTGAAGATTCTCCCATGAGGATATTTTCTTGAGGTCTAGGAAGGTTTTAGAGTTGCAGATAGTAAGCTAACAGTATTGGGGGGTGGGGAGGCATTCTTTAGGACTTAAAGATAGATGACCTCTCATGCCCTTTCTGGTCGGTTTTCCAAAAAAAAAAAAAATAATAATAATAATTAAATGGAAAAAAAAACCCTCCATAATTAAACTCTACATCTGCCAGTCAGTCCTGACTTTGAAATAATGCCTACGATTCTAGGAGTCTTGTTGGACTTGGAACTTCTGATCCTGACTCCACCTCCCAAATGTTGGGATCACAGGGTATGCCAGTGTATACATGCCAGTGTACACAGTGCTGGGGATCAAACGAGGGCCTCCTGCATGCTAAGCAAGCGCTCTGCCCACTGAGCGCCTGCTGTATTCTTGAAGGTCTGTGTGGTTCTAGCCTGGGGTGGGGGTGTGCTCGTGACTCAGTTAAGCCTCGGTGTGGTCTGAGGGCCACTAATGATGTTTCCTCAGAAACAGCTGGATCTCTGGGGATGCCTTTCTTTGCTGCTTTGGGAAGCTTCCATCATGGCATCACTGTGCAATCTAGTGGATATAATTTTCAAGCATATGAGGAAATTCCTAGAGCAATGAGGCTGCTCTCTTTGTCGTAATACTGAGGCCCTCATGGCTGCTCCAATCTTCTTTGGGCCTGAGGGGCTACAGTTTTTAGTAGAAGCCTAGCCATGCTCTGAGAGGAGATAGAAGCGTTACAGTGTTTCAGGTACTTAATATGGGGAAGGAGCCTCCGGATCCGGAGTCAGGGCTAGTGTCTCTGTCGTCAGCAAAATTTCCCTGCACTTTATTCTGTATCCCCCCAATGGCAGAGAGCACCAACAGCAGGGAGAAGACACAGTGGATTCTGGGACACATTTCTAGTTAAGGAAGTTCCATGCCAGTCTATGAGCCTGAACTTCCCGACCCTGCAGAAACTGGTTAAGACAGTCTCTGGATCCATATGGTGTGGTGTTAGCTGAGAGAGGAGGAGGAGGAGGAGGAGGAGGAGGAGGAGGAGGAGGAGGAGGAGGAGGAGTGGCGATTGGAGGAGAACACAGCCAAGATGCTCCCTGTCTCTCCCTAGTAATTTTCTGGTCAGTTTACCACAGTCATCTCGAAACCAGGACCTTAGAGGGAGCTCTCAGCACCCATTCATGCTGCTAAACGCTCTTAGGACAAGGGTAGGGCAGGCTGCGGCAAGGATCTTGTACTTTCCTAAGGTTTTGGTGCCCTCTGCTGGCTGACAGACGTCCTTGTGGCCCTCCACTGGGCATGTTCTTGAAATTGAAGATTGCCCTCTCTTTTGACAGGGTCCAGACAGTCCTGGCTGTCTGGAACTCCACAGGTAGAACTCATAATGGTCGGCCTGCCTCTGCCTCTCCAGTGCTGGGATCAAAGGTGTGTGTCACTGTGCCTGGGAGCTCAGTGCTCTGTTGAAGGGAACATATTGTCCTTGATACTAGGTAATGTGCCAGCTGTGTCTGGCCTGGGAAACCAGAGTGATTCGTAAAGATGAGGACATCAGTGAAGACTTGCAACTCCATAGAGAGAGGCAGATGAATGTTCGACAGGATGAAACATTTTTAGGAAGCAGGAGTTGTGGTGGAGGCTTTCTGACATTTGAGGGAGAGCTTGGGAGAAGCCATGTTGCTCATTAGGACAACTGCAAATGTCCCCCAAACCATTTGCCGTGTTTTCAGATCCAAGAGTTTGGATTGGGAATTTTCAGATGTGTGGTAACTGCAGTTTTGAACTTTAAGCTCTGTTGAATTTGGCACCGGGACAAACATCAATTTCAGTCTGAGACAAGGGTTCACACATTCCCTTCTGCAATCTGAAAGCTCGGGTGGTGCATCTGAGGCTACAAGAATCTCACAGGCAAAAGCCAGTAGGTGGCAGCAAGGTTAAATCAGGACCCACTATCTTGGCGCATGGCGGAGACACACAAGTGATTTGAGCTCATCACCTAAACGGCCTAGACTGACTGGACAACTTTCTCTGAGTTTTTGCATCCACTTTCCCGGGAAGTGCCTTTGCTAGGTCATTTGCGTGCCTGTGAGGTAGCCCTGCCAAAATCACACAGGGTAATTGACCAGGCAGAGCTAGCGGGAAACTCAAGTCTGTCAGGCCCCAGAGGCTGAGCTGTACTTTAAGCCACTACCCATGCTGAGGACAGACACAGAACTTTAATTTCTGCTAGTCAGGGAACCTGCCTCGGGTCTAGGCTGGGATGAAATACTGAACGCAGCGGTTCACATGAAGTCACCCTTGTCTTGTCTATCTGTGAGGTACCGCCCAGATAAGCTCGGCATGGTTTGCTCCTTAGCAACAGCTTTGGGAGTCATGACGACACCATTGGTCCCAGGAGGGCTGGGCAAGCAACCCATAGAGTGAAGGGAGCCCAAGGGAGTGGGCGCCTTGCTTCTAACCGCGAGCTCTGTGTTTTTTTGTTTCTAGCACTGGCAGATCCCTCTGAGCCGGCGCTTTCGCTCCATTAAGCTCTGGTTCGTGATTCGGTCCTTCGGGGTGAAGAATCTTCAAGCCCACGTCAGACACGTACGTTGTGTGAGGGCCATGGGACCGAGCCCATGATGCTTTGCATCTTAACGGAAGGAGGACTTGTCCTGGGTTTCCAAATCTGCCCCCGGGGATCTTTGGTGTCTGGCTCAAGCGGTAGGACACGTAGGGGCCTCTGGGATTTGACTGTTGGTTATCTAGAGGCGTGCTGAGCACCACGTGATCCCAGTGGGCCGTCTGTGATTTGTAGCTCACGTTGTTTGTCTTCTAAGCAGTCAACACCAAGCGCAGCTTCCTCTGAGCTTTTGGCATTTCCTTGTTCTATCACTTCCCCGAGTGTTTCCCGTTGCTGTCTTTGAGAACTGAGAACTCAAAAGCCTATTTTGCAGAAAGTGAAAGTAGGTCAAAGGGCAGCGTGTATGGGCACAATAGGGCCATAACTTTTTTGGGGGTGGGTGTGGGGGCGGGTTAGGGGTGTGGAGAGATACCCTGATTGTCACAGCTGGTTGAAAGTTCTGCTCACTATTATGGTGATGTCTGAAACCTAGATTTCCCCTCTTGCAGCCAGCCCTCCATACAGCCCTGCCCCACAGATACCTAGTGAGAACCTCCTGGTACATGACTTTTCCAGTTCAATTTAGCAACCACACAGTTATTGTGCTAGTGAAGCTACTCAGAGTTAAGTGATTGTGACACTCATGTTGCTCAAGGAATAGACGCCAAGCTGAGAGCTCAGCCCAGCAGCATTTCTCAACAGCAGGGTTGACTCAGAGGCGAGACTTTTCTCTGCGTCACATCTTTGCCCTTACACCTTTCTCTTAGGGAAATTCCTTATTTCTTCAACAAACCAGAACAAAGAGAAATGGTGAAGGTAGTACCTGGACTGGCCAATGAGCAGTTGTCACTTAGTGTCCTAAGGCACCTTAGGCCCTTCCTGCCCTTCCTCTAGCGTCAGACTTAGGATTGGAAGGTAGTGGGTGGAACAGAGGCTATGGAGGCCATGGGACTTTCTTTTGCCTGCAGCTTGGGATTGGGTATTCAACTATAGGTCAACGTTCCTAACACTGCCTTTGGCTGGCCCTGGAGCGCCCTCACTTCCCTATTTGACTATACCAGCCAGCTCTCTGGGTCTGCCTTGTTCTCATCGGCCCTCACCTTAGTTTGGGTATTCCACACACTCCTCCAAACTCCAAACCCAGTTTCCAGCTGCGCCCTCCACCCCCATCCCAATTACCTGCTGAGAAGGTCTCTCTGAGTGCTCCCCATCTTCTGCCTCTGTGGCATGCCCAGGCTCACCAGGCAAAGCACACTTGAAGGGCCAGGGAGCAAAGCCCTGCGGTGGTGAGGACAGAGAGCTGATTTATCTCTTTAAGTTGCCTATGATGGAAATATCACTTGCACAGCACTTCAAAGAGTCCATATGCTCTTCATTATAGTCGTCAGGTGAGGCTCACAACAGTAACGACTTTGCTCAAGTGTGAAAGTCCCGGGACTGTACTGCAGCCCTCCCAGTTACAAGCCCTTTCTCCTGTATCGTTCTGGCTGCCATGAACTGTGCTGAGCTCTTGAAGCCAGTGTGTGTGAAACATTTCTATGCTACAGAGTGGTGCTTTAGAGATTTGAATTTTAGTTTTACCCTTCGGTGACTTTGGGCAGATTAATCTTCCTGTATTTGCTTTCTTGGACCTACAAAATGATGCGGTAATGCCATTCTCAAAGGTTAAATGAGATGCGACACACACAGATTTTAGCATAGAGCCTGGCAATTAAGTAGTCCTCCATTTCTTCCTTCTCTCTCTCTCTTTTTCTCCTTCCTTCCTTCCTTCCTTCCTTCCTTCCTTCCTTCCTTCCCTCCCTCCCTCCCTCCCTCCCTTCCTTCCTTCCTTCCTTGGTGTAGTCTGAGCTTGTCTCAAACCTTCAAGCCTCTTTTCAGTACTTGTCCACTGGATTGCACCATGACCACGGATTTTTCCTTCTAAAGACAATGAGCTGTCTATCATCAGCCATCTCCCATCACCTGTAGGTGAATGGAAAACTTTTGTAAACAGCCAGAAGGTCAGATGTATTTTGGGTTTTTTTTTTTTGCTTTGTTTTTTGATTTTTTTTTTCGTGTGTGTGTGTGTGGATCCTTGTGGTTCTTCCAGTCTCTGTTGTAGCTACTGGACCCTGTCATTGTAACACAATGACAGTATGTGAACACAGGGACACAGCTCGAATTTTTCTTTTTTTGAAATGTTTCAAGAAGTAGTGGTTCTAAGATGGCCCATGGCAGTCACGGCTCCCTGGTGAATGGCGTGCCAACACGGGTTGGCGGTGCTGCTCTTGTCCCTTTTGCTGGGGTCTGTAGTGAGCACACCACCTGCAGTGTGTGCTTCTCTCCCTTGGCCTCTGTTCTGTCTTGGAATCAGCTTGCCTCATGAAAGGGAAGAGCATGTGGCAGGAGGAGAAGTCTTTGCAACCGGGAGACCTACCTTCTGCCACCGAATCTCGGGAGAACCACCCTCCCCTGGCTTTTAGAAAGTGGGGATGCTGAAGAAGGTGGGCTCCGAGGGGCCTGCACCAGATGCCAGGGTGGGACATAGAGCTTTTTCACAGGGCAGGTAGTGGAAACGGGCCTGCAGGGAAGGAGTGACAGGAAAGAACCATAACCAGGTCAGAACTGAATCATAAAGACACTGGAGAGCTGGGGAACAGTCACTGTGTTTTCCCTTGCAGACGAAAGCTTCTTGGGGATCAAGCGAGGGTGTAGCTCACTGGTGGGTGGATGGCTTGCTCGCCATGCACAGAGCCCACTATCTGGCCCTCCAGTCCTGCCTCAACCTCTCCTGGTGGAGGCAGAGGGATCAGTGCTTCAAGGTCATCCTTGGCTGCATAGTGAGTCTGAGACAGTCTGGGATAAGGGAGAGCCTTTCTCAAGAAAGAGAAAGCAAAAGAAAAGTTCACGGGGTCACAGCTAAGAACTTGAAATAGACGGTAGAGAGAGAAAGTGGAGCAGACAGAGGTTGGTCCAAATGGCACCATCTCCTCACTGTCAAGGATGGCAGCTGAAGCGCTTGTCTTCTGAAACAGAGGGCCAGGTGGGAGTTTCAGCCCATAAAAATCACTTAGCAGAGACTGTGAGAGAAAAATAACCCAGGCTGGGGTTAGGCTGGAATCTCTAGGTCATAATTATCCCCCCAACCCCACCATTGACCCATTGGTCTCACTGTGTAGTCCTGGCAAGTCTGGGACTCAACAGACAGGCCAGATCAGCCTTGAACACACACACACACACACACACACACACACACCTGACCACCTCTGCCTCCTAAGTGCTGGCATTAAAGACCATTAAGTACCGCCACTCCTGGCAACCTCAAACTTCTGGTCCTCCTGCCACAACCTCCCCATGCCTCAGGAGTTGTTGATTGAACTCAGAATTTTATGCCCAGTGGGCTAGCAGATCGCCAGCCTCGTCCTTTATTAAAAAAAAAAAAAAAAAAATCTTATGTGAAAGTAAAACCCAAGAAAACCACAGGAAAATTTAAAAGATCATATAAGCTTTGTACAAGATCAACAAGATATGAAAGCTTTGGATGATAAATACGCACAGCATATAAAACAACTCTGTTTTAGTGTACAATGTGATATTACCTATGTTCAATAGCAAGGGAGTATTGCTATTTCCGGAACGTTTCACCACCCCAAGAAGAAATTGCACCTATTACCTGCATGCAAGCCTCACCCCTGCCCTTGAAGGCATAGGTGGGAACACTATGCAAAACACAGGCTCCCCGTGAACTGTCAGGAGCAAGGGATGGAAACGCCTTTGCGCCATGGAGTGTGAAGAGTGTGGTGAGGTGAGGGAAGGCAGCAGATACTTTTGAGGCAGGGCTATGGCTCAGCCCACAGTCTGCTCTGCTTTCTGCGCCGGCTCACTGAGTTGGGCCCTTGCTGGCTCCCTTGGCCCATGGAGAAGCTGAGAAGCCAGAACAGGAGACTGATTGCTGAGTTATATATAAAGCATGCATCTTTTGCGTTCTGGGGCTAAGCTGAAAGAGGACTTTGAGACACAAGGTCTCTGGGTGGGTGTGACAGAACTGAAACAGTAGGGTTTTGCCAACTTGCATATGAGCGAGCTCGAACGAGGAAGGCAGGCAGGCAGGCAGAGGCCACACAGGTGTCAGCATTCATCTGGGTCACCGGTCGAAGTTGCTAAACAGTGGCAAAAGTGCATGTAGTTTGGTTGTTGCCTATTAACCACAGTTTTCTCCATGTTTACAATTCCAGGGTACAGAAATGGCTAAATACTTTGAATCTCTGGTCAGAAATGACCCTTTCTTTGAAATTCCTGCCAAGAGGCACCTTGGTTTGGTGGTTTTCCGTCTTAAGGTAATGCACTCTTTCATGGCTCTCTGAGAAAGGTGCTTCTCTACCAGAGGTGAATGGGTAATGAGTCTCTTAGACCAGTAAATGCTGGGCTTCAGGGAGCGCCTACAGGTGCCATGACATAGAATCCAACTCTTGTTCTTCATATAGGGTCCTAACTGTCTCACGGAAAGTGTCTTAAAGGAAATAACCAAAACTGGCCAGCTCTTCCTCATTCCTGCTACTATCCAGGACAAGCTGATCATCCGTTTCACAGTGACGTCCCAGTTCACCACCAAGGATGATATCCTGAGGGATTGGAACCTCATCCGAGATGCTGCTCACCTGGTCCTGAGCCAGCACTGCACTTCCCAGCCGAGCCCTCGAGCCAAGAACCTAATCCCACCGAGCAGGGCCTCCAGGGACCCAAGCACTGGGTTATCCCTGGAGTCTGTCAACGAGGGAGGGGATGACCCAGCTCAGGCCCGGAAGATCATCAAGCAGCCGCAGCAGCCGGGGGCTAGTCTGGTGAGAAGGGAAGGCGGCTGTGATCCCCTTGACGAGTGCTTTTCGGAAGAGGAGGCCCCGGATGCCACCAAGCACAAGCTGTCTTCCTTCCTGTTCAGTTACCTGTCGGTGCAGAACAAGAAGAAGACTGTGAGGTCCCTCAGCTGCAACAGCGTGCCCGTGAGCGCTCAGAAGTCGCTCCCCACAGACGGTGCAATGAAGAACGGGGGCTCCTTCCGGGCCAGGATCTTTTCCGGGTTTTCCGAAGAAATGATGATGATGAAGAAGAGCGCCTTCAAAAAGCTGATCAAGTTCTACAGCGTGCCCAGCTTTCCCGAATGCAGCTCTCAGTGTGCCCTCCAGCTGCCCTGCTGCCCTCTGCAGGCCATAGTGTAGACGGGAGTCTTCGGTCAGAATGCCAAGATGTGCTTCAGGGAGTTTGTGAACCCCTCAGAATTGTGTGCAGCTTGTGTGCTTATGTGTGTGTGTGTGCATCTTGAGCGGAGCAGGTCCATACTTTGGATCATAGCCTCACAGGGGCGTCCATGACCTACAATGGACTGTAATGGGGGAGTTTAAGCCCCCGGGCTCCAGAGGGTTGCAGGGGCCTGTTGGCTAGAAGGGGCTGAGACAGTGAGCGCTGCCCTGTTAAGCTTGTAATGTGAAATGCGTCCTAGAAATAAATCGTGCTTATATCTGAAAAAAAGCATAGTCCGTCTTAATCGGCACCCAAAACATCGGTGACTGAGCAAGCCATGTGCTGGGCGTGCAATGCCCGATCCTGCTTTTCAGAAAGCTGAAGATTTTCATTCAGTTCTGAGAAAGCTGAATTGGAGAGTACCTTGGCAGCAAGCAAGGAACGCAGCCTGTTATTTGATACAGGGGCTTTTTATGTAGCTCTGGCTGTCCTGGAACTCGCTCTGCAGACCAGGCTGGCCTCAAACTCACAGAGATCCTCTTGCCTCTGTCTCCCCAGCGCTGGGATTAAAGACATGCACCTCTATGCTAGGGCCAGCAGTTTGTTAATTCTCAGTTAACCCTGTAGTTTCCACTTTGTGCATGGAGAGCTGTGTGACCTGAGGCAGAGGTGTCTTCATTTATAAACTGTCTTGCAATTACCTATGGGAAAGTCTTAGAAACAAGACAACAGCTGGGCATGGGTAGCGTACACCTGTGATCCCAGTGCTCAAAAGGCAGAGGCAGACAGATCTCCGTGAGTTTGTGGCTAGCCTGGTCTACAGAGTGAGTTCCAGGACAGCAAAGGCTACATAGAGAGACCCTGTTTTGAAAACTTTTCTTTTCTTTTTAAATTTATTATAATTTATTCACTTTGTATCCTAGCTGTAGCCTCCTCCCTCATCACCTCCCAATCCTGCCCTCCCTCTGTCCCTTATTGCCTCCCATGCCCCTTCCGCAGTCCACTGATAGAGGGGGTCTTCCTCCTCTTCCATCTGACCCTAGCCTATCAGGTCTCATCAGGCTGCACTGTGGCCTGGCAAGGCTGCCCTCTTCTCAGGGGGATGTGATCAAAGAGCCAGCCACTGAGTTCATGTCAGAGACAGCCTCTGTTTCCCTTACTAGGGAGCCCACTTGGACTCTGAGCTGCCATGGGCTACATCTGTGCAGGGGTTCTAGGTTATCTATGAATGGTCCTTGGTTGGAGTATCAGTCTCAGAAAAGAGCCCTGTGCCCAGATTTTTTGGTTCTGTTGTTCTCCTTGTGGAGCTCCAGACCCTTCCAAGTCTTCCTATCTCCCCCTTCTTTCATTAAAATTCCCTGCACTCTGCCCAATGTTTGGCTATGAGTCTCAGCATCTGCTTTAATACCCTGCTGGGTAGAGGCCCTCTGTGGTAGGATCCTGTCTTGTTCCTTGTTTCCACCTTCTTCCGATGTCTATTCCATTTGTCTTTCTGAATGAAGATTGATCATCTTACTCAGGGTCCTCCTCCTTGCTTAGCTTCTTTAGGTGTACAGATTTTAGTATTATTATCCTGTATTATATGTCTAATATCCACTTATAAGTGAGTATATGCAATGTATGTCTTTTCCAACCCTATATCTGACAGAGGACTAATATCAGGAATATATAAAGAACTCAAGAAGTTAAACAGCAACAAATCAAGTAATCCAATTAAAAAAAAATAGGGCACAGAGCTAAACAGTGAACTCTCAATAGAGGAATATCAAATGGCAGAGAAACACTTAAAGAAATGCTCAACATCCTTAGTCATCAGGGAAATGCAAATCAAAACGACCCTGAGATTTCACCTTACACCCATCAGAATGGCTAAGATCAAAAACTCCAGTGACAACACATGCTGGAGAGGATGTGGAGAAAGGGGAACCCTCCTCCATTGCTGGTGGGAATGTAAACTTGTACAACCACTTTGGAAATCAGTCTGGTGCTTTCTCACACAATTGGGAATAGTGCTACCTCAAGATCCAGCTATACCACTCCTAGGCATATATCCAAAAGAGGCTCAAGTACACAAAAAGGACATTTGCTCAACCATGTTCGTAGCAACTTTATTTGTAATAGCCAGAATCTGGAAACAACCCAGAAGTCCCTCAGTTGAGGAATGGATACAGAAATTGTGGTACATTTACACAACGGAATACTACTCAACAATTAAAAACAAGGAAATCATGAAATTTGCAGGCAACTGGTGGGAACTAGAAAAGATCATCCTGAGTGAGATATCCCAGAAGCAGAAAAACACACATTGAAAAACTTTAAAAAAACAACAATAACAAACCCCATTGATTTTGGGGCTGAACACACACCTCAGTGGATAAAAGCATGTTCTACTCTTGCAGAAGACCAGAGTTCCGTTAGCTACCAGTACCCACGTCAGGAGGTTTGTAATTTCCTGGAACTCCAGCTCCAGGGGACCAGACACCTCTGGCTTCCTCAGGAACATAAACTCACACACACACACAGACAGACAGACAATTAAAAATTAAATCTTAAAAGAAAACTGACGCCTGCTTTCCCTGAAATATCGGGCTAGTCGCTATGGGCTGGGCCTGGGCTTTGGGGGTTTGTTAGCTCTCCCAGGTGATGCTAACGTACAGCAATTTGGGAGAGCACTGTTAAACTCACTAGGTTTTGAAAGGGTCAGCCTGGCCCCAGGTGATTTCAGGGCACAGGTAAGTTTGGGAAGTGCCTTGCTGAGGCAGTGCTTCTCAGGTGTGAGCCTGTGTATGGCGATGGGACAACTCCCAGGTTTGGTCTGAGGATGTCGGGGAGGGGCAAGGCTTTGCATTAAGAAGCTCCTAGGTGCTGTCAGTTCAGAAACACTGGTCTGCAGTGTTCTCTCTGGTTCTCTCAGCGGTCTCTGAGTAACGTCAGTGAGCTGTGCGACTCCCTCACATCACGGCTCCCCACTTTTCCCAGTCCCTCCCCGCCTCCCCCAGATCCACTGTTCCTCCAGTTCCCGTCAGAAAAGGGCAGGCCTCCCAGTGATCTCAGCCAAACACGGCATGACGAGATGCAATAAGACTAAGCGTAAACCCTCCTATCAAGGCTGGGCTAAGCCACCCTGAAGGAGGAAAAGGGTTCCAAGAGCAGCAAAAGAGTCAGAGATGGCTCCACTCCCATTGTTATGAGTCCCAGAAGAATACCACGTGCCACAACCATAACATATATGCAGAGACCCTAGTGCAGACACTACAGGCTCCGTGATTGTTGCTTCAGTCTCTTAGAGCCCCTATGAGCCCTGCTTAGTTGATTTTGTGGGTCATATTCTCATGGATGGTGTCCTTGACTCCTCTGGTTCCTCCAGTCCTTCCTCTCCATCCTCAGGGGTGTTGCCCAGGCTCCGCCTAGTGTTTGGCAGTGGGTCTTTGCATCTACTCCAGAAAAAGCCTCTCTGACGGTGAAGGGGCTATTGTGAGCTGTGTGACTTAGATGTGAGCTTCAGAGAGAGAGAGAGAGAATTAAGCTCTGAGGATCTGAATTATGCTAAGCAAGCACAAAAGATGGGTCATTCTGGGGCCTCTTTCTCTATCAAATTGTTCCCCATAACTTGTCACCTGATCAACAAAACCAGCCTTGTTGAGGCCTGCTCTTTGTAACACATCTGAAGATATTTTGTATTCAGTATTCATTTTTGTTCACAAGGTGAAATTAAGTTAAGAATTTTAACTTACTTCCTAGAAGTAGTTATTCCTAGCTGACACTAGCAAACCCTGCCAGAAAGTCAAGTTAATCTACACTAACAGACCCTGCCATAGGGCCAAACTAACCTAATATTTAACTATGACTCAATGATGTCATAACTCGTGCTCTGTTATCTCCACACTTGACTACACTCTGATTGTACTCTACATTTCTCTCATAGAATGAGAGAGAGAGAGAGAGAACCTCACTATGTTTAACTAGGCTTGCTTGCAGGAGCCTGGGTGAGAGGTTTGTTAAGAGGGGCATGAACATCTGGTAATAGCTACACCAATGAAGAAAATATCTTTCTCTCCCCGCAATCACCAACTTCCTATAAATCTGCAGAGAAAGTTGGGGCATTGTGATCTTTCCCTATCCACAACAGAATATTGACAGGCTCCATCTTGTTAGATCTTTGCAGACAAGAACAATTACTGTGAGTTAATTTCATGGATGTAAAAGTATTTACTTACCTGATGTAATTGTTGTCTGGGTGGCTTATTGCCTCTGTCTTCTAACCTAGGTTTAGTCCTGGAAGCCTCTAGCTTCTGTACACTCTAATCTAGGCCTAGGATGTTTTCAGCCTTTGAGACTTACTGCTGAATAAACTCACCCTTTCTTGCTCTTTCTGAACTCTGGCTGGCCCATTCAGTTCAGCTCTTCTGGCTCAAATGCCTCTCCAAGTTGACTAATTCAAACCAGCTTCTCTCAGCCTCTGACTGAATTGCTCTGCTTGGCCTCAGAATAACTCTAGCAATCTATTCTAATCTTTGGCTCCTTCTGTCTTCCTGTGTCTAGCTTGTTTTCTCTTCAACCTGCCTCTGTAAAACTCTCCCTGTAAAACAGCCACCTCTCTTTCTCTCTGCGCTGCCCTCCCTTAAGTCTCTTCTCTTTCCCCCCTATTTTCATGAGAGTTGGGCGTATCCTATTCTGTCAAATCATTCTCTGATTTGTCATTTTTGTCTGCCTCTCAATTAGATATCATTCTCAACCATGGGTGCTTCCTTTGACAAACTAACTTTATCTTCATTGTTTGGGATTAATGGTGTGTACTGAGGTCGTGTCTTCATTCCAGCAAGACAACACGGACCTAGAAAGTCTTTGGATGTAATCCAGCCATGTTGCTGGATTAAAATTCCTCTACCTATGGGTGCACTGGCCGCATTATGTCTGGAAGAAAGCTGCTCCACCATGCCTTATTCCCTCCTGTGCAGGTGGAGGAGGCTCAGAGGTTCTTGTGTTCACAGGAGCACTAGGAAAGGCCGAAATGTTAAAGATGAAGGGTGTGTCTTCAAAGGGAAAGATGTAAAGCTTGTCCCCACCACACTCCCCCAGAAGGCTGGGAGCAGAGGTGGTTCATAGCCTTGTGACTCCGTGTTTTCTGTGTGACCACAACAGATCCTCCCCAGGCCCTTAAAATGTCGCATGTGTAGTCAAGCTTTAGAACCCATCTTTAGGAAGTGTCACACGTACATGCCTTCAGCTTTATCGTACACACAGGATTGAGGGTTTTTTTTTTTGTTTGTTTTGTTTTTTTTATCACCAAGAAACTTTTCCCCAAATTTTGATATATTTATAAGCGCCTAAAATAAACTGCTCGGGGTCAGATCTTGAAGTCTGAAGCAACACTGGTTCCTGAGCAGTGTTGAACCAGACTTCCTTCTTGCCTTTCATGGATTGACACTGCTGGCTGTGCTAGGGTCAGAGACCACCAGGTACAGGCGCTGTTACAACCTGGCAAAAGAAGAAAGATCAATCTTTAAAACCCTCCCAGGTGATGGCTTACCCATGCCAACCCAGAGACTGAGGCTGCTGTGTCTCCATTCACAGTGGAGCGGTGGTACTGGACCTGAGCTGGGGATTCTGGGGGAAGTGGGAGGCTGAGGAGGCTCAGGGAGCAGGGTCTGAGAACATCCGCGCTTACTTTCTAGCTGGATAATCTAAATCTAAAGCAGGGATCACGGGAGGTCAGAACTCACCAGGCTGCAGCTGCAGAAATTCTAAATTCTGTTTTATTAGGATACCCTATTACCTGAGAAGATGCCCCTGGTGACAGAGACATCATCACTTTGACTTGCCTTTGTTGACAACCTGGTTTATTTTGACAGGATTCCATAAACACTAAACTCTTAAACGTAGTCTTGGGTTAAAGTTTTCACTGGTGGATGAATAAAAAAAATAAAAAAAAAAGGCAGGATTTTTCCCAGGTGCTGAAAAATACCAAGAATCACTCCAAATAACTGAGCAAATGCACAAAGATGCAAGCTATCCATTCCCATAGGCAGTCCTGGAGTCTCCTACGCGCATTGGGTGCTCAGGAAATGAGTTCTACTCAAGGTAATAAAAGCAGTGATTTGAGTCACCAGACCTCTTAGAAGTCACTGCAAGAGCGGAGAGGAGGGCTCAGTCATTCAGGGCGCTGGCCGCTCTTGCTGACGTTCAATTCCTAATACTCACACAGTGGCTCACAACCTTCCATAACTGCAGTTCCAGAGGAACAGACCCCCTCTTCTGGTGCACATACATAGATGCAGGTAAAGGATTCATACAAGTAAAATAAATTTAAAAACAAGAGTGGAGAGAGCACTAGAAATGCTCCTAGCATTCTTTTTAGTATCGTATCTGGAGTCAGGGTGGCCACTCTTTTCACTGTTCGGGATGGCCAGGTACAGCTCCTGGTCATTTGAGGAGGTCCTCTAGAAAGGAATCTTTGCTTCCTCTAGGCAGGCTAGGGGTGACCTGGGTCTCACTGTTTGCATGTAGAATCAGTGGCTGTGATGGCCTAAGTTAAGGTTAAGGACACGTCCCGAGTGCATCAGCCACGGACCTACTTCTGAGGGTGTCACAGCTCACAGCTCGGACCTGTGGCAGTAAAGGATTGCACTCTTGAAGGAAGGCAGCCCAATGTAGGGACAAAGAGCTCCCCAGAGGGTCCCAAGCCATCCTTGGGCAGACTCATGCTCTGGAGACTTGCTGCGGAGTGGAATAAGCTTCCAGCTGGGAACAAAATCCCAGCTGGAAACATCGTCAACAAACACCTCCAACAAAATATAATCACAGAGCAGAAAAGCCTGGCTATTCAAGGGTCCTCCCAGCCTCACAAGCACCTGGGGCCCTGCCTCAGTCTGCATTTTGTTTCTGAACAAATTAAGAGACAGAATCTGACTTTCTATACGTTTCTATAAGACAGCTGGAGTAGCAGCTGTGTTAGACACTTTCACCAACTGCTTTCTTTCCCCATAGCTTACATGTGAATCCTGAGGGCAAATGTTCTCGTAACTCCTAATGTAGCAAAAGCAACAGCAACAAAACCAACAAAATAAAAAACAAAACCAACCAACCTACCACCTACCCACCCACCAACAAAAAAAAACCCTGAAAACCAAAACCAAACAAAAACCAAGACTAAACAAAAAACCCTAACCTTACTGAGCATCTTTTAAGTGTAGACTTAGGGTACCTCAGCCTTAGTCATCTGAGGTGGTTTGAATAATAATGACCCCCCCCCCCCCCGCCAAGCCCAGGGACTCCTATGTTTGAATACTAGCTGGTAGAATTGTTTGGAAGGATTAGGAGGCGTGGCCTTGTTGCAGGAGGTGTGTCACGGGGGTTCGGGGTAGCTTTGAGATTTCAAAAGCCTACCCTATTCCTAGTTGGCTTTCTCAGTCTCATGCTTATAGATTAGGTCTGAACTCTCAGCTACTGTCCAGCACCACGCCTGCCTGCCTGCCTGCCTGCCACCATGCTCTGCACCATGATGGTCAGAGGACTCTAACCCTCTGGAACCGTTGAGGACCCAAGTTAAATGTTTTATTTGATCAGTTGCCTTGGTCATGGTGTTTTGTTGCAGCAGTAGGAAAGTAACTAGGACAGCACATTTAGAGACTAAGCTGACATTCCTAGCTTGAATTAATGTCTGCACGAGTGGAGCTGGGCTCCCATTGCTGTTTGTTGCTGGCCTGCCCTCCCTCTCCTTTGCCACTTTTTATCAAGATGAGTAGCATGTGTATGGCTGATGACGCTCTGTTCTGAAACACACGATGAGGAGTATGCAATTAGAATAGAGAAAAACACAAGAGACTGTGCTCTCTCATACATTAGTATTCATATAGTTTATTATGTATTTAAAAAAATAAGGCCCTCTTTCCAGGAAGCTTGGCTTGCAAAGACAAATGGCAGGCACACATTGAAAAATAATTGTCTGTAAATCTTCTTACTTGCAAAGGTTCAGATGTAATTTAAAAAAACAAAACAAACTGTCGTTTTAATGGATAACTTTCTAAAAAAAATTCGCATTTTATAATCTTCAATCCAATTAAAGTTGGATTACATGAAGTGGCTATGCTAGGTCTATTGAGTTTCTTTCTGGAAATGGTATACGCTAGCCACCTGGCAATATTCAGAGCTTCAGGGTTTTCGCACTTATGGCATTATAAATGTCCTCAGTCATGGGCACATAGGTTTTTGCTGCGTCATCCATGAAATACAAGGCATCTTTGATGACTGTGGGATTAAAGCCCTCCTCCATCAGGATCACCTTTCGGTGTTTAAAAGTCCCAGTGATCTCTATGGAATCCTGAAAAAGATGACACAATCGGTATGTTACTTGTGATTTACATAAGTCAGCGTGCAGGGGTGGGGTGAGATGGCGGGGACTGGCTGAATGCTGGCTTCCTGTGTTGCTGTGAGAGTTGAGTCCGTATTCACACTGCCCATCCCCCACTGTGCAGAAGTTCCACACAGCGACCTATGTAAGAGATTTAGGTCCTTAGAGCAGAGGTTCTCACCCTGTGGGTCATGACCCCACAGGGGTCGTGTCAACTACTCTGCATATCGTATATCTATATTACAATTCGTAACAGTGGCAAAATTTCAGTTATGAAGTAGCAACGAAAATAAATGTATGGTGTTGGGGGGTCACCACAATCTGAGGAACTGTTTTAAAGGGTCGTGGTTTTGGGAGCGTTGGGAACCCCTGTGGGGAATGCTGCCAACGGTGTGCAGACTCTGAGCAGAGGGGCCCCTGGGAAGACTTCAGGGGGAAGGGGAAAGGGGCCACTGACACAAAGGGATTTTGTTTTCCGGGTCTGTCTGTTTGGCGAAAGCCTCCCGTCAATGTTATCAGACACGTCTGAAAATATTTCTTGTTCGTCTCTTTACCACCTGCGCGCAGAGCAAACCCCAGCCCTTTATAAGCGACAACGGGGGTAGCCTTGCACGCTCGGCACTACTCAAGACCCTCAGACTTTGTCAGGTCTTCAGGTACATGACTGCAGGGCTCCAAGCCCTCAAACCAACTCCAGCGACAGTCCGACAGGTCCGAGTGACTGATGATGCTCAACTAAAATCTGCCCTATAGCAAGGTGTAGGACCTCAGCAGGTTTTGTATCCTTGAGAACTGGAAACAACACGGCTGTGGATGTATCTCAGTGGCAGAGTGCTTGCCTATCATAAGCCAGGTTCTGGGTGCTAACACAGAAACAAGGAAAGTGGACCAAGACCAGGAGAACTAGATACTTTCTATTTGGAGTGTCTTTGACACCTCATCAAACACTGTTAGCTCTCTGCTGAGGCTGCAGGTGAATGCACTGGCCTGTCATTTTAGGGAGGAAGAGATTGGGGTGGGACCTCTGTTTGCTCTGTTTCCGGTATTTCCTGTCCTTACTGAACTACAGCACTTCTTCCTGAACGATGTCCGGTGTATAGGTTAAAATTTGGCAAATGTGGTAAGCATGGGAGAAGGGGGGCAGTTCCCTAAGACAGTGCCTGGGAGAGACTTGAACTTGGTAAGTTTTCTCACTTGTATTCTCAGGAACCGAGGCCTTGCGTAGCTTGGCAGGTACTCCGAGATGTGTTTAAAGAGTTTCTTTCCATTGAATTCATGATTTTCTTTCATCTTGATGGAGGCCATCCCAATTCGACCCTCATGACCTGGAAGTGGAGTAAGAAAACATTAGCTGGCATTTCCTTCCTTCCTTCCTTCCTCCCCCCCCCCCCTTTATTTTTTGGTTTCGAAACAGGGTTTCTCTATGAAGCCTTTGGCTGTTCTGGACTCACTTTGTAGACCAGGCTGGCCTTGAACTCACAGAGATCTGCCTGCCTCTGCCTCCCTGAGTGCTGGGATTACAGGCGTGTGCCACCGTGCCCCTCATTAGCTGGTAACTTCATTCTCAAGGCTTTGCCAGGTCAAAGGACTACAGCTGCACAGACGGTGACAACCACAAACAGTTTTTTAAAAATAATTCCAATTTTTATTTCAAATGTGTGTCCGCATTGTTCTATGGTAAGTACGCCATTCTTAGAAACATAATGAATAACTAAGTGATAAAACCAATGACAGATGTACATTGGCTTTGATACTTGTCATGACCTCTGCTCAGTGCATTCTCATTTAACCACAGCAACGGCCTTATCAAGAGGCGCAGATGTTTATCTCAAGGATGAAGAAACTGAGATTTAAAGGCATTCAACAGCTTGTCCGAGGTCATACAGCAAGGAATAGCACCAGAGACTAATGCAGGCAGGCAGGCCGGCTTTGATTCCTGTGGTCGCAGCCATCATTCTTCTTAGTCAGCGAGACAGAGCTTTCCTTGTGGGACAGCAACTGAGCTGGTGGCTAAATTGAATTTGTGTGTGTGTGTGTGTGTGTGTGTGTGTGTGTGTGTTTTGTTTTTCTGATTCCAGCCAAAAGTCCTTGCTCCACTGTCGTGACTAACTGAGCTGGACCTGTCATTTTAGCTCCCGATGTTGGGTCTGTTGTGCTGTTGGCACAGATACTGCCTTTGAGAGTTATTTATTCCCTCAAAGCTCCCAACAGCTTTGCTTCGCTGTGTTTCCGAGAGGCTGCAGGGCAGGAGGGTGGAGACAGTGCAGGGTTGAGCTGCTGTGTGCCCTTCTGTTCTTGCCCAGTACTCCCAAGGGAACCTACACTGCACAGAGAAAACTGAACTCAACAGCAGGGCCCTTAGTGGCGGTGATTACAACAATTACTATTGTTTGCTTGTGAGGACAGTGGTAACTAGGTATTAATATCTATGTTCTCCTGATCCAGCAGACGCAGTGGGAGCCCGGGTCCACTTCCCTGAACTACTTAACTGTAATCAGATAGGAAGAAGGAGACGTCCTTGGTCACCTGGGCCCCAGAGCTTGAAATCTCTCCCATGGTGATTGTATGTTTACCCATTGCTCTCAAGAAGGCAAACAACAACAAAAACATTAAAACAAAACAAAACAAAACAAAAATCCTCATTCAGTTTCCTTCAGAGCTGAAGGAGGAAGGCATGGTGCCAGACCTTCTCTCTCTCTCTCTCTCTCTCTCTCTCTCTCTCTCTCCAGACCTTTCTTCTTAAGGTCCCACACACCTGTCTCAGGAACTTCAAACATCCCCAGGAAGCTGATCTTGGGATTACAGTGGGGCTAATGCAGCAGAAAGACTGCACCGAACGGCTCTTGCTCCATGCCCGGTAGTGGCAATGCCACTGGAGGGAGGTGGGCCTGTTAGGCCCAAGGCTTCTGCGCTTACTGCCAGGAGTTGCCTTTGACTAGCTCAGCTCCAGGTCCATTCGTGGGAGATGTACTATTTAACACAGCAGCCGCTGTCCGCGCACAGGTTGTCAAGACAAAAGAAATCAATTATAACTAAGTAAAGGAAGAAATTCAAAATTTCAGTTGTGCTACCTGTATTTTAAGTACTTAGCAGCCACACTGCGACTGTTGGCTACTCCACTGGATATTTTTCACCAACACGGAAAGGTTTATTGAGAACTGGAAGTTCTAGAGAGCACCCGGACTGTTCTTGTGTGACGCCTCCATTCTAGGTCCCAAACGAACACTTCGTCTCCGGTGCAAAAGTGAGAACCAAGGTTCTCACCGCCTGCACGAGGACGCCTGCCTTGAGCAGGGCCTGCTGCATTTCCAGCTTAGGTGTCCACTGTCGGCTAGGCATGCTGGTTAGAATGCTGGATGGCAGTCAGTAGGCCATTGAGAATCTGAAGCTGGACAGAACTTCGGAGTTCCGCTCTAGCCTTTCACTACGGTAAGACTTCTTTCAGGATTCTCAGATGGAAGAGGGTCCATCATCTGGAAGTGAGCCCATTTGATGGTTGGTCCCTCTGGCTATGGGGGTTTCCCAGGCAATGTACTCTTCCTGACCATTTCAAACTGTTTTAGTTGCTCCTCTTTCTGAATGACAGGGAGCACTCTGACAGCCTCTTCCATGTTCTGCAATGCTAACTGACAGGCTTGCTTGGAAGATTCTGGATCCCAAGTCCTAGAAGTTCTGATGCATTAGCTCAGGGATTCACAAAAATTCCCAGGTGACTGTGAGACTGGCCATATTTTGAGAAAGGCTTCAGTGCCTTTCATACTTCAGTGGAATTTTTGCTGTTTGTACCTTTTTTTTTTTTTGAGATGGGATCTCACTATATATAGCCCCTGCTAGCCCAGAACTCATTACATGGCTCAAGTTGACCTTGAAGTGACTTACACTTCAGCCTGCCGAGTGCCGAGGTCACAACTGTACACCATCATGCCTGTAACTGTTTTTAAAAAGTTGTGTGACGTATGAAATTCGTCTTTTTCACCAGTTCAGTGGTGGTTAGTGTAATAATCACAATGTTGCCCAATTACCAGACATGTTAGGGGCATTTTCATTGTGACTAAATCAGACTTGAATGTCGTGTGTATGCTGTGTGTGGGAGAACTGGGGACAGACCCAGAGCCTGTGAAGACACGCTGCCGGTGAGCCACGCCCCTAACCTAGTGTTTTTAAGTCACTAGAGCGGTAGTTCTCAACCTGTGGATTGTGATCCTGTGTGTGGAGGTACCTTTCACTGGGGTCTCATATAAAACAGTCTGCATGCCAGAATAGTTACATTATGATTCGCAACAGTAGTAGATTTATGGTTATGAAGGAGCAATGAAAATAATTGTATGGCTGGGAGTCACCACAACAAAAGGAACTGTATTACAGGGTCACAGCATTAGGAAGGCTGAGAACCACTGTGCTAGAAAATTTAAAAAAAAAGCACAGCTTTCTGGAACCACCCATTCAGCAGGTCTGGGTGGATGGACACATCTCAGCTTTAGTAAGTTCTCGGGTGTGGTGATGCTGCCTGTCTGGGACTCCTCTTTCAGGAATATTGTTCTTTCAACCCACGTTCCAGATTTTTCTCAGCTACTTAAGAAAAAATTTAAGATTCAGCACATAGAAGCATACCCACCACTCTAAGAGGGGGCTATAAGAGACTGGGGTGTCACGGTGACTGACACCATGACGTGGACACTGGTGTTACTGAGCAGGTCTGCTGCACTTTCCTCCAGACACATTGGGGAATATTCTGCACCCTGTCAAGACTCTGGGACCCGAGATGTGGCTGTGCTTTCCATTGCATCACTGTCATTAGATCACAGGGAAACAGGTAAGAAAATACCCATTCTGTGGCTGATGGGAATGTAAATCAGTCCAGCTACTATGGAAATCAGTATGGTGGTTTCTTGAGCAAAACTAAAAGCAGATCTAACAAGGGGCCCATCTAACCCACTCCTGTGTGCTTACTCAAAGGTCTCCAATCCATCGCAGAGACATTTGCTCATCAGTGAGATTACAGCACAGTTCACAACAGATGAGTTATGGAAACAACCCAAGGAGTAAGAAAATGCAGTGTATGTACGCAATGAGATATTTTTCAGCCACGGTGAAGACTGAGGTTTGCAGAAAGATGGACAAAATTGGAGATAACTATTGTAAGTGAATTAAATCAATTTCAAAAGAGCAAATGTCATGTATTTTTTTTCTCATTGGTTATATATATATATATAATCCAGGAATATATATATTATGTATAATCCAGGAATCACCAATATATATTATATATAATATAATAATATATATTATATGTATGTATATATGACATGAGAGTAGAAATCTGGGTGGCAAAGGGATGAGAGAGAATGGCATATAGGGAGAATATACTATATAAATAATATGTAATTGTATGGAAAAAGACTTTCACGAAGATAAATGAGCAGGTGTTGCAAGGTAAACAACCTAAAATGGTTTCAGGAAGTCCCTGAAATTTACCAGATTCGCTAGGCTCTGCCAGACTGAGCAATAAAGACTGCTGAGACTCACTCACAGGCAAGCCAAAGTACAAAAAAAGAGTGTCAGACCAGAACATCTTCCTGGGAGAAGAAGAAACCAGCCAGGCTGTCTGGAAGATGTTTAGACCAACGGAGGCACCCAGACAGGACACTCTCCAGCCTGTTGGGCTGCCTGCAGGCTGTTCAGTGCGCTCCGGGTCCCCAGCTTCGGGAGCTGTCACCCGTGCTGGGGTGGGCCTCGGTGATGCAGCTGTCTTTGAGTCATTTCTGCTCCTGGAAGTAACCTTCACCCACATTCCTGTAAGTGACCCCAATCAAACACATTGGTTTGCCAAGTGGGGCTTTGGTGGCATCTTCATTTTGGTCAGATATGTGGCCCTGTCAGTGGGCAGGGAAAGGCCCTTTGATTGCTACTTTGAATAAAGGGTGAGAATCCTCCAAACTCAGTTTTCGAGACAATAATAGCCCGACACCTTATATTTGGCCACTGACTTGAAGAATTTAATCCTCTCTAATATCTACAATTAACACGACTGATACAGCAACCCTCGTATACATTTAATAAATACACTCGATATTTATGAAAGTAAAATAAACGGGTTCTGATAATTTCAACTGCAAGGCCAGTGTTATCCCTAATTTGAGGGACTTGTGAAATAGCCAGAAGGTGTTGAAGCCAGGCTTCTTCCCACTCTGCTGGTGGAGGCAGATCTGTGGCTGCCCTCAGTGGCTCTGTGATAATTCTGCACTCAGGGTCTGGTCTGGTTTTAGGAAACTGCTTACAAGAAGAAGCTGAACAAATATGCCCCTTCCCAACTTTCTCTTTAGAAACTGAATCGTTCCTACTTACATCTCCAGCTTCAGAGGCAATACTCCACTCTGTAGCGCTCAAACTCTCAAGGTATGCCAAACAGAGACCCCAAAACTTGGAGGCCTCCCCAGCTTAAGAACCCTAAATTAAGCAGTCGCTGAAATCCAGAGGCAGGCCAATTCACACACACTGAATTACTCTGACACTGGTGCATGAAACAGAGAGACACACTCTCTAGCCCCCTCTGGCTGACCGCTGCTTTATCATCCAGGCGGCAGGAGGGCGAAAGACAAACTTTGGTTAGCTGCTACAATTCTCTTCAGTGCCTGACTGGGTTCACACAGATTTCATAGTGTCGTACCTGGCACGGGCACTCCATAGACGTTGACTTCCTCAACAAAGTCGACCAGCCCTACTATGTCAGCAACTTCCGTGGTAGCTACGTTCTCTCCTTTCCACCTGGGAGAGAAGGCAGGGTTAGTCGAGGCCACGCTTGTTTTCCGGTCAGCATTTCTTTCTGACCTCACTGAGGGGGCCGGTCTTCCCATTCTGGCTCTTAACACCCTCACCTCACTTGTTGCACTCTGTTGGAAGCAAAAGGGTGTAGACCTGGAGAATAGGATGTGGGGTTTCGATCTCGTCACACAAGGCATAATAACTAGCACTGTGTTCAGACATGGAAGCCAGCGCTGGCTAAGAAAGTCACTGGATGTCAGAAATGAGTCTCAACTTCTTTTCGCTTTGTTTAGGCCTCTCACTTTTCTTCTTTAATACCTAATTTAATTCAGTTAGTAAATTTCTTGGGCAGAATTTCATAGTTATATTTCAAGTTCTCACAATAACAAAGCTTTTAGCTAAAAAGAAAAAAGTACGCTTTTATTACATAGATTATAATGATTTTTAAAAAAGATCTATTTATTTATTATATAGTGTTCTGTCTGCATATGTGCCTGCGTGCCAGAAGAGGGCACCAGATCTCATTATAGATGGTTGTGAGCCATCATGTGGTTGCCGGGAATTGAACTCAGGACCTTTGGAAGATGTGTATGTATGTGTATTTTGTGCAAGTGTGTGCATGTAGGCCAGAGGAAAACCTTGAGTGTCTGTCCTCAGGCACTGTCCACTCTTTAAAAGATATCTCACCAATTTGGAGCTCAACAAATTGGCAAGGGTGGTTGACTGGCCAGCAGGCTCAGGGATTTGCCTGTTTCTGCCTCCTCAGGGTTAGATTACCAACATGTGCCATCAAACCCAGATTTACTGAACTGTGCTCCTGTCCTGCCCTGCCCTGTCCTGACACTTGCAAGGCCAGGGCTGTATTAGCTGGCTCCTCAGCTTCCCGAAGTGACTTCTTAATGAGGGTGGCATAAAATTCCCCAAGACAGAGAATTTTAGGGGTAGAATAAGTGCTGAAGGTCAACCAGACTCTCAGGAAATGGGCGAAAGAATGATTAACTTATGGTATTTTTTTCAAACAAAATCTGTTACTTTTGTAAGACAATTAAAAAAAACGGTAATATCGGTGGCCAGGGCTATGGTGAGTCTGGAGTGTGGTTCTCATTTAACCTTGATCTTTCTACTGTAGTCAGCCAGGTTCCATGCTTTCTTGACTCACTCGCTCAAGGTTGTAGGTCCTTCTGGGGGCGTTCCTATCTCAGGAGATTCACACAGGAAGGAACCCTCAGCCACGAGCTGGAGGACTGAGCTATTGTTGGCAACTCATGTCACCATTTACCAAAATGACTCCCAGACTTCCTCATGCTAGCCTGAGGGCTTTGTGGGAAACCATTTGGTTGGAGATGGAGGACAGAAGGGAGTGGAATAAAGGCTTTGAACATCTCACTTCCTCAACCAGATCAACTTCCCATTAATCTGCACTTGTTTTACCCTAAGAGCGAAAAGCTGTATGATTAGAAAATAGTGAAAAAGCTCCGGCTACCCTAATGGCAGCCACTAAACATGCAGGACATGAAGGAACAGCTGGGTGGACTTTGGGCTCCAGAGACAAGGAAGAGATGTCCCTCCTTTAGTTTCATTTGTGTTGTAGAAAGACCCTTCGTATTTCACTCCTTATTCTCTGGGAATGGAGGAGGTGAAATGGCACGCAAGAGACAGAAAAAAAGGAAGCATCTCGGGAAAGTGGCATCTGATTCTGACTTAGGAATAGGCCAAACTGTGTGCATGTATTTGTTTTGGGATCAATAATTCAGAGAAACCAACCGGAACGTATCTCCAACTCTGTCGTGAAAATAGATGAAGTTTTCCCGATCGATCATCAGGAGATCCCCGCTGTTGAAATAGAGGTCTCCTTTCTTGAAGACATCTCTGAGCTTTTTCTTTTCCGTCTGAGCCTTCCCTCCAGCGTAGCCACTAAATGGTGAGAGCTGTGTGATTTTGCAGACCAAGAGTCCAACCTCACCTGAGACAGAAGAGGGTAAATGTTGTTGTTTTTTTTTAATGTGTGTGAGGAGATAAGTACACTTTATCATCATCTTTGTCTTAAAACTGATAGCTTATCGACAGCCCGCCGGCAATGAGCCGGCCATAAGGAGTGTCATTTCTTATATCAGTGCTCATGTATGCCGTGCTGTGGTTGAATGTGAAATGTCCCACCTAGGCTGCTGTGTTTGAACTTGATCCCCAGCTGGGGATGCTCAGTGATGATTCCTACACATAATTAGACAAATGCATAGACATCAGCACAAGGGCCACATAAAGCTGTCTAGACCTTTACACAGGGATCTTACAGGCAAGGTGTTCAACGGACTTAAACGTGTAATTACAGGTTAAGGCAAACCAGTCCCTTCTGTAATTTAGGCATTTTTGAGACACTTCAATAAACATGTTTCCCCCACTAATTTTAATAAAATATATTGGTAATTCTAGCTAGTTCTTAAATGTTAGCTCTTAAATGTTGCTAAGGATAATTTTCGTGCACAGTTTATTGCATTAAAAAAATCCATACAGTACCTTTGGGGACTTTGATGCAATATCCATTTGCGTCACGGACGGGCTCATCCTTCTCCACGTCATACTTAATCAGCTCATATCTTACAATTTTCTGCCAAAATTAAAAATATCATTTGAGCACATCCACTGAGTTTTGCAGTTTTTCACATGCTTGCTTGACTACAAAGACTGCAGAAAGGACACATACAACAGAAACCTTCAGTGAACAGCATTGGTAGAATTTCACATCTGTAATAACCACCCAGATCCAGATATACAAGCTGTACAAAGGCCCCACCGCCGGGCTTACCTCTGGCCTTACTGGCCCATTTTTATTGACATTCAATTTTCTCTTGTATAACTATACTATATTTATTCTGTTTAATGGGTATTTTAAATGAGTACTTGGGTTATTTCTAGTTTTGGTCTATTATAAATAAAATGGTTAGGAACATTCTCTTTTGGCGGACAGATCACAAACGAATTTAGTCTTATCTAATTGTGTGTTAATATGTTACCATCAGATGGCTGGTACCCTCATCTCCAGGGACACATATATCTAAGAATCAAAGGGAAAATTACTTCAGGCCACAACTATGAAGTTATTAAAATGCTATCATAGTTAGGGGATATCTGTTAGGTACACATTTAGGTACATATCTGTAATTGGGGTGTGTGTGTGTGTGTGTATGCGTGTGTAGGGGTGCTGAAGTATGGCAAACCTAGTAAGAGCTTATCCTAAAATAAAAGTTTTAAAAACGGCTGAGTTGCCGAGCATGGTGGCACACACCTTTAATCCCAGCACTTGGGGAAGTAGGGACAGGTGGATCGCTGTGAATTTGAGGCCAGCCTGGTCTACAAAGCAAATTCAGGACATCCAAGGCTACACAGAGAAAACCTGTCTTGAAAAAAAACTTTAAAAAAAAGGGGGGGGGGGAGCTGGGTTGTGGCTTGGTGGTAAATGCCTGTCTAGCATGTGCAAGGCCTCGGGTTCAATCCCTGCACTACCAAACTAAAACCAAAGTTAAAGCACAAACCCAACTCCACCTTAACACAGCGTACACTGATTTAGTTTATAAGAGCATCAAAAACCTTGTCACTGTAATTAATGTTTCTTTCCGCATTAACTGCTGAGATACCCTGATACTTTTTAAAGATTAAAGATGTGACAACCAACGGATGAGAAAACAAGGGCTAGTGGTGAGCAAGAAGATTAGTAGAAAACACATTTCTATAGAAGTCCCCTCTCTGAGGTCAACCATGGCAACCCCGCCAGCTTGCTGTGGTCAGCCCCGGCTGGCTGGTCCCGTCAGCCTGACACTAACATTCCAGCCTGTCACAGTGTAGCTCAGTGGGACAGTAACGATGCTACAGCTGTCTGCCCTGCTGCGGGTGCTGTCCCTGACACATGCCTGCTCATCACTCGAGAGGCAGCAGTTACTGTCAATGGCTGAATTAAAAATTTCCCTTTATTGACAGTTAAATATTTGCATATAGCTAGAGGCTACAGTAGTGGATAGCATAGGTCCAGGGGTCAGGGAGTGAGCTGGACAGTGCGGGTTTGGTGTCATCGCTGGAGAGGGTCCTTGGACTGGGGAATGCCTTGTGCCCCAACCAGAGTATAAGAAACGGAAGGCTGAAAGTCTAAGATTATTACAGGGATTTTGCATAAATAACTCAGAGGATAGGCGATGGGCTCGATCTTTTGCTTTTATCTGTTTTAAGATGTTGGAACTGAGGCCTAAGGAATGTAACTAACTTCTCAAGGGACTCAGCGAGCATGCGGCGCCGCTTGGATCTGCCTTTCAGAGCCACAGTACTTAGCATATGGACTACTGTTCTCATTGCTTCATTGGTCAGTCCCTGGGGACGAAGTCGTCTCAGAGCTGTGCTGTGGCTATTTCCCAGTCAGACACGATGAGGACAAGGACCGCAAAGGCCAGTGGAGGGTCAATATACATGGGTTAAACTTGGAATGACTGACCGACTGACCACCAAGGAAAACAGACTCTTGAGGGTCCCCAGGCTATAAAATAACTGAGAGAGAGAGAAAGAGAAAGAGAGAGATAGAGATAGAGAGAGAAGAGAAATAAGTCACATCTTTCTGGTGGACCTATAAGGAGTACACGTGTGTCAACCAGAACATCTCAGTTCTCTTGAAGGTCTGGGCTGATGGTCTTAACCCTGCACAGCTTTTATCTCAGAACCACCAAATCCAAAGGTGGTAGGTTGGGAACCTGTAACTATATACATAGAGAATTCCCCATGTGATTTTCCACGCACACCTCGATTAAAGGGAAATACTGCACTTCACAGTGTATAATAAACGTATGAAAAGGGTAACTTTCAAGTTTTTCACCCCTGTATATGTATGACTAAAGGGAGGAAGAAATCATACAGATTTTAAATGCTAAAAGCTATGAGTTGCTGCTGAGTATGAGGTGAACTCAATCATTATGGAGAATGGGCAAATTTCTCTTGGTGACACTGAGGACATGGTTTTGGTGTTACGTCATGACACAGCTTTGAGGGAATCTATTCTGAAAGCTAGCTACCCATACACTCATTTTTTTTTTTTTTCAGTGTACTTAACTCTTTGTAGATAGTTTGCTCTTCCGACAGCACCAATTTTTCTCGGATAATTCAGAAATCCAATATTGCCTTCCGTGGCAGCGTAGAACTCATAAACATTAATGTCCCCAAATCTCCTGATAAACTCTCTCCACACATCTCCCCGTAGGCCATTTCCCAGCGCTATCTTCACTTTGTGGTCACGGTCATTTGGTTTCTGTGGTAACAAAGAGGAAGTGGACAATGTTAACCTTTTGAGAGCTTGTATTTATGTATTTGTTGTATTCAGATTATACATTGTGATAGTTGCCCTAATTATATTTCATGTTCGTGTCAGTCACAAATCCATCTTAGTGTGTGCCTTTTCTACTACTCACAGACATAACCCTGTCTTTTGGCAGCATAAGCATTATAGTCTGGAATGCTGGTTTAATAATAAAAACGTGTATTTCCCCATTTTGATTCCAGGCAAGACGAAGCAACCAGATGAACCAGGCAATGCCAACATTTAATTCACACATAGTGTAAAGTGTTAGTAGTTTTCTTATGGGGCTGGTGAGTGTCAGGGCATTTCCAGATGGGATGTGCTAATGGAAAACTGTCAGAAATGGACACATTCTGCTACCAAAGGATTCTGGGTGTTTCTCTTGATAAAGCAATAGCTCTTATGTGGCAGTGAAGAAACCAGGGAATGCAATTGGGATGGGGCAGAGTGGAGGGGGGATTTCCCACAGTTAAAGAGCAACAATGTCAGAGAGTAGAGAGAAGTCTGGACCTCATTTACCAGGTACACCTGGAATCACAAAACTTGTTGCAGTTGAACTAATGTGATGAACTGTCTCAAAAGGATAGGAAGGGAATGAGGGGTAAGCTGGCTTCTAGCTGCTCAGGTCACCCGAGAGGAAGAGATTTTGCTGTAAATGAAATTCAGAAAGAAAAAGCCGTTCTCTGTGTGAGGACCCAAAGCAGGCCTAGTGACAGTCAGAGCTGTTGAGGGGACCACGCTGCTTCCTTTATTTACCTGCCCCCGTCAGACACCTGCAGAGACGGCTCAACCAATGACAGTTTTAAGGCAAATGGTGAGTTTATAAGGCAAATTATCTTCACTAGGAGATGATAGCTTGGTAGAAAAGGCAGGTAACATTTGTTAAATGTACCTTTATTTGAACAGAAACCAGCCTGGGTCAGCACAGATGTGCCAGATAACAAGCACTCCCCTTTCTCATCAAAAGGTAATTTATCTGCTTAAGTCAGCAGGGCCAAGGTGGCGCTGCTGCTGCTGCTGCTGCTCTTCCCCCCCCCCCCCCCTTTCCTACCATCCTGCTTCTTTACTTGTCATCGATACAGGGTCTCGCTCTGCACTCCAGGCTGGCCTTCAACTTGTAGTGGTCCACCTGCCTCAGCCTCCTACTCTTTCATTACCTCCTAGAGAATGGACTTTGGAATATAGCAGAGAGAGGAGAGAGAACAGAGAGAGGAGAGAGAGAGAAAAAGGGAGAGAGAGACTAGCTGCTGGCCTCCTCTAAGAAGGAAGGACTGTGGTAGCTAGAAGGCTGATTAAAATAAACTTTGACTTGGTTCCATGGAGAAGGAGCTAGAAGCAGCTCAGGAAATAGTAAGTATAGACTTGCTTTTTAAGGACCTTGATTGGTCAAAGGACTTAGGTAGTGAAGCTCATTGTGGCTTTCTAGCTAGAGAGGTGGACAGAGATTGTCACTGAAGAAAATGGGTCTCTTGAGCTGTCTCTCTGAGGAGAATGTGTGGAGAGTGGACAGAGTCCTCTACTCCAAGTGGTTTAAGAGGCTTTGCACTCGTTAAGTCCTGGGTGTTCTGACTGCTTAGAAATACAATCTCATCATCAGCTTTACGGGCCAACAGGTCACTGAGTTCTCTTTCACAGTTACCAGGTACCTGTCAGGAGGTAAATTCTGTGTTTGCCAGGGGCAGTTCTCACTTACGTTGGCTGCTGTTCTGGAATGCTGATTACCAACCATTCCCTAATACTTAATGGGTTCCCCTGCCCATAAGATGTTATTCTCAGAAAAGACTGTCAGGTTTCAGCCCTCTTTCATGAGGACTCTGAGGCTAAAACATCCCAGCCTTGGAAAGTACTTGTTTCCACTCTGCAATAATCGGTACACAGACCATCGAGACAACATGGAGAGGTGTGTGAATTCAAGGCCTTACTTGTTCCACGTGCGGGCCACGCTCAGTCCCCTTCCCACACAGGCAGTTCATGCCTGTGTCTACTAGCCCTCTCTCTTTGGTTATTACCTGTGTCTTCCTTGGAGACCAGACATGTCTGCATCCTCCACAGGGCTTAGGGCTGTGTTTTGCACACAGCATTATCTCTGTTTAAACAAGTGACCTCCACCAGGGAAGGATCAGCAGCTCACGGTGAGGGCAGCCTCACAAGCACAGAGTTAAGGGTACAGGTACCTATGGCAGTGGGCCAGCCTCACAGGTGCAGCACGGCACCTGTGGTGGTGGTGGTGGGGGCTGGGTTTACAATCATAATACCACGGGCTCAGTTTTCACAGCCCAGCCCAGGGATCCTATTGCATTAGTGGAGGGATTAAGGTTCGAAGGCCAGAAATGTTCCTGACACAAATGAGATCCAGGAGCCCCTAAGAGGCCAATGTTTACTTCGCCCTCTGCTCACCAGGAGCTGAGAGTGGTGTATAGCTCACTCTCTTTCTTCCCTTGGGGATCTGGTTTTCCTTTACCACCCAATCACTTCCCTAAGGATTGTGGGTCATTTTCTCTATCATTTCTCTCTTTTGTCTCCTACATCCGAGCTGAGACGAGACCTGCAGACACACCTGGGTCTTAGGTTCCCACTGGGATTTAGTGGACTAATCAAAGGTAAGGGGTCATGGTGTCCTGGGAGGAATGCAGAGAACCAGAAAATCAGAGTAAGTAGAGTATTTTCACGGAGGCCTTCTCTGTGTGTCAGCATTTGGCCTGTATTCTCTTACCTAAGGTTCTGAAATCCGCCATACAAGACTGATCACGGAGTACTTGTCACACATTTCAAAAAGAAGAAACAGAGCCCTGGAAGGCTTACAGTGAGGAGCCCAGGGTCGCAACGACAGCAAAAGAGCTGCTCCAAGCATCAAGTGCACATCATTTGGCTGCAAACAGCGCTCTTTTCAGAGGCAGGGGATAAGAAGTTCAAGGTCATCCTCAGGCTGCTTACAGAGTTTGAGGCCAGAGGCCAGCTTGGGATACATGAGGCCTCGTCTAAGGAAAAGAAAAGAAAAAAAGAAAAGAAAAGGAAAAAAAGAAAGGAAAGGAGAAAATAAGAAGGAAATGAGAGAAAGAGAGAAAAAGAGTATACAGCACAGACACCACTTAGTACTGAAGGGGCTTTTGAATGAAGAATACTGTATTCATTCTGTTTCTCTGTCCCAACCTTTTGCCCTTAGCTTACAGCTCTGAGACAGACACTTCTAATTACTAGATTTTTTTTTAAATCTCCATCTTTCTAACTTAAATGTTTACATTTTGGTCTTCTGATTCATCAAACTTTACTACCAAGTAGGTGGGATTATAGGACTGTGCAACAAGGCCCAATTTGAAAATATTCTTATTGTAAAACAGATTTAATAATACACAGCTGGGTATAGAAGTCTAGATGAGCAACAGCTTTGGCTTAGAATTCTGAAGGTGTCACCCTGTTGTCTTCTTGTTTTGGGGGCTGCTGACAGAATTCAAATGTTTTCACAGAATGAATCCCTCCCACTTAAAATTTATCATGTTGGACTGGAGAGATGGTTCAGCAGTTAAGAGCACTGGCTGCTCTTTCAGAGGACCTGGGTTCAATTCCCGGAAACCACATGGTGGCTCACAACCATCTGTAAGGGGATCTGATGCCCTCCTCTGTCTGATGCTCTCACCTTCTTCTGTCATGCAGACATGCATGCAAACAGAGTACTCATATACATAAAATAAATAAATGAATCTTTAAAACTATTTATTTGATATGTATGTATGTTCACCATGTGCCTTCCTGGTGGCACAGGAGGACAGAGAAGGGCATGTGAACCCCTGGAACTGGATGGAGTTATGGATAGTTGTGAGCCATGTGGACACTAGGAATCAAACTCTGGCCCAAACGGTCTTAACTGCTGAGTCATTGGGTCCAGCCCTCTCTTAGTTCTTTAGATAATGACGCTTGTGTGCTTTCCCTCTTGGCGCCCTCGTTTTTATATAACTTCCAAGAAGTGAAAGGTCTTCAAACATTCCTGAGTCCATGTTCCTAACAGCTTCTGTGAGATACACGAGGGAGGCTCCGCCTGCCTGCTGTACCCAAGAGGCCCTTCTCCCAGCAAACCCTCCCTACTCCGGCCCCAAACCCACCATCTCCCACCTCACCCTTCCACGTGAGGCTCCTCAGTCACCCTTTGTCCTGCAAACATCTGTCGGGCTCTGCTTCCCGGGCTACACACTCAGGTCACTCTGAGCTGTCTGCAGGTCTAACACACACAGGTTTCTTCATTCTGCAGCCTTTCCGGCTGTTCCAGACAACCTGAAGCCCCCACTCTCTGCCTGGCTGCAGAACCTCCCCGTGACTATCCCGTCGCGTTGTCTCTGGCAGACTTTCCTGATTCTCCCCTTTCTCCTGTTTTGCCTCTGTTTACACCGCACCCTGAGCTGGCACACACCGTACCGTCTCGTTTCTACCGGAATTCAGGTGACTCGGAAACAAAATCTCAGGCTGGAGGAGACCCGAGAGGGCCCCACAGGTTAAGAGCAGGGGGACATTGGCAGAGACGTTAAGCTGATATCTACAGATTCACCAGTGCCCAGTTCATCTCACCTCCCTTCCGAGTATCTTAACTTGTACTTGTGGCTCCCAGGATGCTTGTGGATTCCGTTCCCCCTTCTCTCTGCTCTCCTTGGTCACACCCCAGAAGACACACAGGTTCTCACTGAGGACCCGTTGCTGCTGCTTTAGTTCCTCACCGGGGGACTTAAACACTCGGCTTCAGTAACATCTCGCACTAATAGGTCCCTTTTTCCTAAAGAAGGGTGAATGGAGAGATGCTCTGCCTTTAAAGGCACTGGCTGCTCTCGCAGAGGACCCAGGTTTGGTTCCCAGCACCCTCACAGTGGCTCACAAGCATCTGTAACTCCAGCTCTAGGAGACCAACTTCCCCTTCTGATCCCTGCTGGCATCAGGAACACATGTGATGCACAGACGTAAATGCAAACACACATACACATTAAATAAATAAATCTAATTTTTTTTTTTTAATATTGTTTCCTTAAAGGACACCGTTTTTAGAAAACTACACCGGCAACGCAGGAGTGGACCAACTTCACACTGAAGGCGTGAGGCCTCACACTGACGCTTGCATTAGAAATGCATGCTCTGCAGGTCAAGGTCTAGAGCTCACAAAGGAAGATGGGCAGGATCGACATAGAAGACTCAACGACACAACCATAAACCAGCCCAGTCAGTAGCATTGCTTTCCCGTGCTTCCTTAGACCCAGACAAGAGAGACTGGGGAATGTGATCAGAGAAGGTCTCTCATTTCTTCTGGCTCCAAGGGGCAGACACGCTGTCATTGGTTCACTCAGAGACTGTGTGTGGACCAGCTCCCGTGAGCTTCGTCCTGGCAGGCATGGAACGTGGTAACAATGACGGTAACGGCTCTCGTATGTTCCACACTTACTTGTGACAGACAGACTTACTTGCTCTGTGCTTTGTTTTCTTCTTTCTGTTTGTCTTTTTTTTTTTTTTTTTTTTTTGAGACAGAGTTTCTCTGTGTAGCCCTGGCTGTCCTGAACTCACTTGTAGACCAGGTTGGCCATGAACTCACAATGATCTGCCTGCCTCTGCCTCCTGCGTGCTGGAACTAAAATCGTGCGCCACCGCTCCATGCTGGCTATGTGCTTTATGCTCCAAAATCCCATTTTGAAGTCAGACTCTAAGTAAGGAAAAGTCGTATTATGTCAGTGTTGGCTGCTGGGAAGCTGACATTTGGAGAGGTTGTCTACGCGGCTCAGATGGCAGAGTCAGGGTGTAGACTTGCCGACTCCCGGGTCCTTGTTCTCATGTAGTATTTTCCTGCGAGCCAAATCCAAGCCAGCAGTCTGAAGGTCTGTCTCTGGGGTCCCACTCTTCTGTGCCCACTGCTATGCCAGGAAAGTTACTTCCATAGCCACAGCAGCCTCCGCTTTTCAGTGCTGGCCCCGGAGTCTCTGGATGAGCCTTGCTATGCTGAGGGCAGTCACTTCGTCTGCCTGGTCAGTACCCTTGCTGCTCAATCCCTGTGCTTTTGGTGGTATCGGCCCCTCTGAGGACAGCCTATTCTTCCCAGTGGTTCTAAGGGTAACGCGGTTCCTAATTACATTGATCCAGAGCTTGTACGGAGTCTGAGTTTTCATCCAATCTTTTTTTGAGAAGTTCTTACAATTCTATCTCTTATTCTAATTGTTATTATTATTATTGTATGTGTGGTGTATTCACACGTAGGCACAGGTGCCAGTGAAACCTTCCTTAAACCTCTCCCTGAGTGCACAGAATCCGGGTCACCTAAAGCGACCCATACTTCGTAACATTCCTCCATTGAGGGCTTGTTGAGAGAGCCAGTTCACTCCTTAGAATTCTTACAAGCAGTCTGTGGACAGGTAGCACTCAGGGCGACCCACAGCAGCCAGACCCAGTTCGAGATGAGGTCCATACATAGATTACGTATCACAGCACACGGTATTTTGAAAGTGTAAAATCCATCATTGTTTTCCAGCATTTGAGATGACACTAAGGACAACAAGGCAAGACCCAAGTGTGTATGTGTGCACACCCAAAGAGCATAAACATGGTGCACGAGCATGCACTCCCCCACTCCAAAGGGGGCTCCTTTCAAGACCAACAGAACACACATCCCCAGGAGACTTCTAATTGATGGGGGGGGGGAGGAAGGAAAGTTTTACTTTACAGCAGAGAAGAAATGCCGAGTAGATAGACACATGCACATTTCCCGTTATAATAGGTGAATATTATCTGGGGGACCAAGTGAATACTATTGTAGAAAATGCTGTGGGAAAAGGTCCTGCTTTAGCCCATAGATAATTAGGAACTTAGGTGTTGAATTTCCAAAAAAAGTTTTTTTTTTTTTTAACAAATATGTTAAGCCTAAACATTTTGGAAGTAAAAAATATTACTTCCCTAACTCAAGTAAACTTTTTTTTTTTTTTTTTTCAGAGCAAGAACTTAGATTAGAGGTTCAGTGAACAGAATTTGTTGGCACCTGAGTTGCTGCTTTCTAATCTCCATACTTGGGGACCAGAGAACAAAGCATGGAGTTTCACTAGTGGGAAAGGCAGACAGACAACTTCAGGTATGAAGGTGTGGTAAGTGCTGCGAGATGTAGCAGCAGGACGGAGCATCAGGAGGGGCAGGCTTGATAATTGGTAGGAGGGGCTCCTAGGGAGCAGGCATCTGGGCAGAGGCTGACTGAAGTGAGGAGGGGAAGCTAGGCTCCCCCTAGGGAGCCGGGGGTGGTGGCTCTTTTCCATCTTTCCTTGCCACGCAGCTCTGGGTACATACATTGAATGTAACACATACTTACCCGTAGCGATCAATCAACTCAGGGGTCCTCTGGGTTTGCCTTTTGTTGACTGGATAGTTTTAAGGAGTTAAAATCTGGTACATGTCCTTTACTGTCCAGTCAAGTGGTTCTCAAAAAGGATCACATTTGCCTGCTATGGGACATTTGGCAATATCTACAGACATTGTAATTATCATGGGAATGAAGGTCAGAGATACCTCTAAACCTCCAGCCTGGGACAGAATATAAGTCCATACAGCCAACTTACCCAAACAATAGCCGTGACACGGTTACCCAAGGCAGCTGCCAGAGGCTGCGCAGGGCGAGCTCTTGTGAGCAGTGTTGGCAAAGCCCATGAATAGCTCCAAGCAGGGCAGACTAAGACCCTTGGAGTCACCTTGAACAGATTGGATTTGCTTGTTTCCAAGCTGGATCTGTGCACTAGGCAGCACCAAGTGAAAATTTGCTAGATGGCTCAGGTGGGAGGGAGGTTAAGGAATGTTGAGGAGACAGGAAACAATTGATAAGGTCCACAGTCCAGAGAAGACAGGAGGCAAGAAACACACACGCAACACGAGAGGCAGAAACACAGACAGGAGGAAGGATGGATGACTCAAATGGCTTAGCCTATGACCTATGGCTCTGCACAAGCAGAGGAGGACCTGGGAAGGGGAAGGCGTGAAAACATGTAACAAGACAAAGAACAAAAATAAATTTATAAAGAAATAACTAAAATTAACGGTTGTTCTCTCCACCAAGGTCCTTCTACACGGTAAACGTGTCGTCAGGCTTGTTATAACAGCAATTGTCATCTAAACAGAGAACTGAGGTGGCTGAATCAGCAGAAACCCGGCACGGACCCAGGAAGATTGAACCTCTTGTCGATTTCAAAAAGACATTAGAACACGGGAGAGTGTTACCTGGGGTGTGTTGCAAAGGTACCGGAGCAGTTCACCAATGTACTGAATGACAGTGGCATTGTATTTCCTGCAGTCATCCCAAAACTGGCTGGCTGAAAATTTGCTTCGCAGAGCGAAAGTAGCCCCTGAAGAAAAGGCACAGAAAACACCTTTCCAGTTAGAAATTTAAAAATCAATTAAATCAAACATGTGTTGAGTACCTATTATGTTTAATGCAAAGCATAAAGAAATTTGTTTCCACCCACGTGAGCCTCCAGCCTACGGAAGAGGGGGAGACGGATGGAATATCATTCACATACAATCTGTGTGCTCAGAGGAGGCTTATGAGATGGAGCACAGTGAGAGGGATACTGGGGAGGGGGAAGGGAGGGAGAGAGGGAATGGAGAAGGAGGAGGAGGAGAAGAAGGGAAAGAGAACTGCCACCAGAGCCATGACTGTATTACCTTGTGTGGCAAGGCGTGTGATTATGTGATTAAGCCAAGGGTCTGGAGGTGGCAAGATTTTCCCAGGCTATCTCCTTACCCAATTGTGAGGGTCTTTAAAAAGGAGGAAAAGTAAAGGGGGTGGGGGAGGGGCTGGAGGAGGGTAGGCACTGAAGATGAAAGAAGGGACCATGAGCCAAGGAATTCAGGCAGCCTCTAAAAGGGAAGGCTGGACATGGCTCTTCAGCATCCAGAGCGAATGTAGCCCTGCCGGAGACCTCTGACATCCAGAACAATGAGAAAGCAAATGTAACAACAGGAAGCCCATACACACTTTTTGTGTTCCTCACTTACTTCTTACTCCTAAATATAGGAAAGACTAGTGTTGAGGAGAGACTTTCAAAAAACATTTTCCTCCTTTTGCCTGTGTTTGTGGTGCTGAGGGTCTTAATTGTCCATTTCGGAGCCCCCCAAAACACTTTGTTCTTGAGGATCCAGTTGTATGCCCATGCCCACCAGCTTTGCACCTGAAGAGCAGGGCTGATGCCAGGCAAAGGATGTCAGAGTTGACAAGAGGAGATAAAGGAAAGAAACAGAGGCTTGGACATGAGTTTTAATTCAAGCTGCTATAAAAAATTATAATAGCCAGGCTAGCTTACATTAAAAATAACGGTTTCTCCCAGTTTTGGAGGCCATGAGGGTCAAAAGCAAGGCACCAGCAAGTCCAGTGTCTAGAAAGGACACTCTTTTCCGTCTGGGGATGACCATCATGTCTCCATGGCCTTTTAAGGGGGAGGGCAGGGCCAGCAATGAGACTCTCTATTCTAACTGCTTATCAGGGCACGGATCCAGCGTGCAAATGCTTCACAAGTGTGGTCTAATGGTTCCAAGCCCATCCCACAGCACTATCCCGCCAGGGATCAGAATCACAAACGTTCAACACACACACACTCACACGTTATTATATGTGCTATATATTTTATTTCAAATAAATGTATTGATTTTATTTAAAGGCTTATTTAAAACAAAATATCACTTTGGAGAAATGTCAAGTTATTTATTTCAGTGAGAGATTAAGGAAAAGTTCTCTCAAAAGGGGGAGATGGGCTGTTCCTCGATGGGTAAAATCAATGTGAATACCATTGCCATGCCAACTCCTATTTGGACTGTGATGTTTGAGAAGGAAAGAGTGGCTGGTGGCAGGTCAGCTAGTCTGACAATGCCAGGAAGCTGTGGAAATAAGGATTAAAGAATAGTGACTACGGGGAGAGAAGCCTGAATCAGATGCTGATGAAGAAAGACATGCAGGTTTCTTAAGTAGGAGAATTATTTACAGAACCTAAGAATCCCGGGTAAAGGCATAAACTACTTTACAGAAATTTCTTCCTAGATATATTGAACAGTTAAAGCAAGGAGAAATAGAAATCATTCTAGATGCTTGCTCATGATGTGAGAACCACAAACCTTGTAGTCAATGCAGGAGCAGGTACTATTTCTGGTAGACAGGAAAGTAGCCAGATTTGTTTTTCCCTTCGAGCAGGTGTGACGTGAGCGTGTGCCAACTCCTGAGGCCTGGACAGAAATTGAACTTACCGGTCACAATGCATCCGTGCAGGCCAACCATGAGCGCTGCACTGTGGTACAGGGGCATGGTGGTGTAGATGACATCGTGGGCCTTAACCCCGCTTGCCACCATCAGGCCAGTTCCGTACCACAGGCGATGGTGATTGATGGTGGCAGCTTTTGGAAGACCTTTGCAAAGACACAAGAGAAGGCATCAGCGGGCCAGGTTGGCCATTTGCGGCACGGGAGGGAGAGCTGGTGTGTAAAATTCCCTCACACTGTGCTGGCAGAATCGTATGAGGGTGGGGTGGGGGGATGAGGCAGGGGCATGTACCTTTGTGAGTTCCTGAAAAACACCAGAGAGTAAGTATTTTAGGTTTTGTGGGGTTGTACGGTCATTGTTGTGCTGACCTGTCTCCCTGGTGTGCTGAAAGCGACTGTGCACGTATGTGAAGGCCTGATGATGGCCACACTCTAAGGATGTGTGGAGGATGTATTTGGTTCTCAAGGCTTAGTCTGCCGGGTCTCGACACAGGCAGATGACATAGCAGTGGTCTGTGGAGACTGGATTCCTACTTTGTAAGGCATTTTCCAAAATTCCAGTTGAAGAGATAAATCAGATTACATTGTCCAACTCACAGATGAAAAGGCTGTGTCAGAGACACAACGGTGCACACAGCTAGGCTGTTTCCTTTGTAATGATAAGTATTTGCCAATTCCATTCGAAATGCAAACATAGTGCACTTTTTGAGGAAGAGCTGTCCATGCTTACAGATTTCCCTCATGTACCTAGCCACTCATTTCCCAGCTGCCTCCTATCTGTTACATGAGAATGCTATGATTTGTTTATATCATTTTGCTATTTCATCGTGGGTTGCCTTGTTCACATGGCAGGTCACACAATGAAATGATGGCACAGGACAAAAGCCGTGTCTTTGCAATCTGAGTACATAAACAGCACATTGTCAGTTATGGGGGGGAAGATCCCCACTCACCCCGAGGCCTGTAAAACATGAGAATGCTTCCTCATAGCCTTGCCAACAAAAGCGCAAACACTGGGCCTTTTGCCAATCTGAGATGTGTAAATGATTTCTACTGTTGCTTTAGTGTGTTAAACTAAGCACACTTACATTTTCTTAATAATAATTTGCACACTTAAAAAGACTTTCTTGTAAAAGTCTGCTTTCCTTGCTTCTCATGGAAGACTGGCTTAATGGTAGGGATGGAGTCACTGCTTAGGGGCTGAGCTAAAGCTTAAGACCCAAGTAGGTGATTCTCCTTCACGATGAGGAAGGCAGGTTCCTGAGGGCTCAAGCACTTAGCCAGGCAGTGCCCACACAACAGTTTGTTTTGTGGGCAGCAAGCCACATATCACAGTAAACACATCTCCAAGCTCACGTCATCTGTCAGTGCTGCAGGGCACTGAGCTACTGGTAACGACCTATCTTATACTAACATTGAGAAATAGAAGAAACCTGCAACAAATCAACTGTATCCACCAGAGAAAAGAATCGTTTGGATGGTGAAAGTTCTGACTTGCATTTTCTTAAAGAATTTCATCTTCTGGGAGGGTGGGGTTGGGAGGGGGTGAGGGAGGGGGCTACAGCTGGGATACAAAGTGAATAAACTGTAATTAATATAAAAATAAAATTTAATTAAAAAAGAACTCATCTTCTGTGCTATGAGTACTTTCAGAACTTTCTTAATTTAATATTTTACACTAATCAATCAAGAAGAATATTTCATAACAATTGCATAATTTTGTGCTACTGATTTCCTGTGAGGAGTAGGGAAAACATTTTTTTTCTTCAACTGCTTTAATGGATTCATTTAATTACTTCATACAAGAGTAACATACAGAGATAAAGAAAAGAGTAAAATAGACATCAGCCACACTGTTTTCCTGCTACATATCAATGCTAAATTTTGGAATTAATTTTTGGAGTGTTAGAAAACACTCCTGAACGTGAGTTTTCCATTTCCTTGCCAAAACACCATGAAGAGGTTCTCCACTTCCCAGTGTTAGGGTTGGATTTCCCTATCACTAAGCAAAAGCTCATTTCCTCTCAGTTATAATCAAAGTTTACAACTTCATCTAAGCATTCTCTTATTCTTATGAGATGAAGGTAGAAGTCCTACGTATTTTTTTAAACAATTTTTAAAAGATTTATTTATTTGTTATGTATACAGTATTCTGCCTGCATGTACACCTGCATGCCAGAAGAGGGCACCAGATCCCATTATAGATGGTTGTGAGCCACCATGTGGTTGCTGGGAACTGAACTCAGGAACTTTGGAAGAGCTGTCTCTCCAGCCCAAAGTCCCACGTATTAAAGTAGTGTCTGTGTGCAGTGAATGCAATTGGCTACTTCTGACATAACCAACTGTTGTTGGCACAGTGGTTTTGAAAATTAATAAATAAAAAATTACACATATCATGCTATTGGCATAGGCTTTTCTATGCCATTCCAAGCTTCTTATTCTTATCTATTTGAAGAAAATATTCAGTAAAAAAAAAAAAAAAGAAGACAGTGTGAAGGGATACCCATGTTCATGTTAATCTGAGGCTTATCAACTACAGTCTATCTGACGTGTGCTGAGGGCCTTTTGGAAAAAAGGACAGAGACTCTGTGGGCTGGTGCTCAGATATCAGGCTTGGCAGACCCTTCAGTCTTAACCTTTGACTAGCCAGCAAGGAGAATGCAAACATGACCGTAATTTAATGTCCTCAGAATAGTAACGGTGGTCACTATCAACATGTGGGGCTGGCTTCCTGTCTTCTCCACGTGCCCCATAGGCGTCAGCCTAGCACACTTTGGTAAGGCCCTCCCTGGCTTTTGGTAGGCAGAAGGGAGCGTTACCGCCTTAGTTGTATGAGCTTGGAGTTGGCCCACAAGCTGGGTCTCGACACTTTACTTCTTGTCCTGGGAAGTTCTGAATCTCTCTATAAGCTTCTGAGCCCTGAGATGGGCAGATCCGAGGGCAGGAGGGAGCTGAGGGAGCAATGTGTTTGAGCCCCTGGAAGAACGCTGGTCACAGAGACACGGGGCATTGCTTGTTTTAAGTCGAGGTACGGCAATGCTTCTTGACAGTTGTTTGCGTCCTGGCGCCCAGTGAAGGAGACATCCTACCCTTACTGACATGCAGAGTTTTAGGACCTGTGCTAGACTCACTCTGCATCAAATGTGATGAGAAAAATCAGTCCCATAGAGTTGTCCTCTGGTGTGTCTGACTATGTCTGTTGTTGTTAGTTAACTGTTTTTTGCCTTAGAGCAACTGAGTGGGTGTGCGTAGATCTGGGGAAAAGCAAATGAGATCATGTGTGATGAAATAACGTCAGTTTTCGGGTGTAAAAGTATCAGTGATCAGTTTTGCTAGAGAAACAGAATATTTAAAAGGCCAGCCAGTGGCCAGCTCCTTCAGGACAGGCCCCTGTGCTGGGAGTCCTTCCGTACTTACCTGTGGTACCCGAAGTATAAATGTACAGCGCAGGTGTGGCGAAAGTGACCTCCGACCTCCACGACTCCGGGATGGGTTCCGCCGACACCCCGTCCACTTTGTCCAGCAGTGTGTCCACACCTTCTGTGTTAGACGTTCTGCTTACGTACAAGACGGACACACCTTCCTTTTTCAGGGTTGGCAGGACTTCCTCAATCGCGTCTTGTAGCTCTTAGTGGGAAAAATCCAAGCGAACTACATTAGCCGATTGAGCATGTATTGAGTGCCATAAACTTCAGGATACTTTGCACGAACCTATATTTTGCTAAAATGTATGGATACAAGTGGTACTTAAATTCTTTTGAGACAGTGTCTCACTACACGGTTCCAGCTGTCCTGGACCTCGGTATATAGACCAGTCTGGTCTCAAACTCCCAGAGATCCACCTGCTTCTGGCTCCCCAGGGGTGAGATTAAATGTGTGTGCCACCACGTCTCCCTAGTTATGCCTTTTATTTTATTTATGTTTAAATTAATTTATTTTTATTAATTTCAATTTATTCATTATTTAATTAATTTATTTTGTATTAATTATAATTTATTCATTTTGTATCGCAGCTGTAGCACCCCCCTCGTCCCCTTCCCATCGCACTCTTCCTCTTCTCCTCACATGCCCCTCCTCCAGTCCATTGATAGGGGAGGTCTTCCTCCCTTTCCATTTGACCCTAGCTAATCAGGTCTCATCAGGACTGTCTGCATTGTCTTCCTCTGTTAGTTATGCATTTTAGTATAGAATTTGATGTGTTTGAAAGCGCACGCGCACACACACGCACACGCACGCACATGCACACACAATCCCAATAGGGTTGATAGAAGACATCACAGAAATGGGCACTAGGCAGAACCAGACAATAAGTACATATCACCGAAACACTACTACAGTGAAACAGGCATTTCCAGAACATATCACATACTAAAGGTCATTACTGTTGTAAAGTCTATACCACAGTCTATTTTCCCATGGATCAGAAAAAAAAAAAAAAAAAAATCTGCCCTTGAGCTACAAAATGAAACCTCTTTAAGCTTACCTGTCGTGAACTGTAATAACTGAAGTAGGCATATTATTATTTTAAAAGATTCCCTTACTGTTATTTTATGTGTATGGGTGTTTTGCTTGCTTGTACGAATATGTACCACAAGCTTGCCTGCTGTCTGTAGAGGCTGAAATTGGGTATTGGATTCCCTGGAACTGCAGTTACAAGCAATTACTTCCTGACCAGGCTCCTCACTGTCGGTCTCTTCTACTTCCAGGGTACTTCACTACTGCTCACTGTCCAGTGCCGCTCATTCACACATCTTGGGGGCCGCACACCCCTTAGGATGGAACCTGTTCTCCTCACTGGGGGGTCCTCAGGGTCTCATCCCTGCTGGCCTTCCTGATGCCATCTTTGGCTATCCGCCTTCTGCCCTTTTCTCTCCGCATGCGTTCCACGTGAAGCACCCATCAAACATGCTTGCATTTAATAATCCTGGTCCGGATCATTCCACCTGCTTAAAATGGCCTTTCACCCTTAGTCACCTAAAACTCCCTTCCGGGCAGTCTAGGGCAAAGGTCTTCTGCCACCTTCCTTTCTGCACAGCTGGCTGCTCTCTTCTCTGGTTCCCACACAGGTTGAGCATACTTATCCCATGTCTGTTAGGTACACAGTGTGAAAGGTTCAGTTCCAGTCAGCTGTGAAATCCTGAACACTAAGGGATCATAACTTACTGTACAAAGGACCACATCAAGTTGAAACTGCTTACTTGAGAAGATTCGCTACTTGGAATACTTTGAGTAGCTAACCTTTAATAAAGTGAAAGGAGATGACTTCTGAAAACAAGAGCTTCCTGCGGGCCCTTGGTCTATGACCCTTCTCTTTGACAGAAGGGGTAGCCATTACCCCTGCCCAATATGATTTAGATGGCTGTCGCCTTGGGTCTTGCTAGACCAGTCTCCTTTCCCCTAAGTTTAAAGCTATTGATACGAAGGCTGAAATGTAAAATTCTGTTTGTGAATGTTGTCTGTTAGCTATGTAGTTGATGTGACAGCCGACTAGGACACAAAAACTCAAATAATCCTGTATGTCACATCTAAGTTCCCCTGGACTGGGGAGCTGAAGTTTGCCTAGGGGTTGTTTTGGGGGGCTGGACCTGTGAGGGGACCAGGAGAAGTAGACTGGAGAGAGGGAGATGTTGAACTGAGACAGTCACAGCAGTGGCCATTCCCAGAGCTGTCTTACACTAAGGCAGCTGACCCCTGCCTCTCAGCCTTCCCGTCAGCCCTTCAGACAGGCTCACTCACTCAATGTACTCATGCTGAAGGGTGTGGCAAAAAACTCTTTTTAGCTAAATCGGGTCCTGGGAAGGGGCTCGGCGGAGAGCTCCTGGCAGCTGAGGAAGGTGTGCCTGAGGCCAGGTGGCGCAGCAGGTAGGCACACGGCAACAGAAGACTTATGTTTTTCGTTTGTCGAAAATGTTTTGTAAGGTAGCCTTCCATGCATTACATCGATTTCACAACAACCTCGTGATGTAGGGACATACCAGTAACTCCTTTTCTATGACAAACCGTGACACACAAAGCAAAAACAAACGCAGGGCTTGCTCAGTTTTTATGGCTCTGTTGCTCACCTTGTGGAGATCCTGTCCCCTCCTGGTCTTTCTATCTCCCCCTTCTTTCATAATATTCCCTGCACTCTGCCCAAAGTTTGGCTATGAGTCTCAGCATCTGCTTCGATACCTTGATCAGTAGAGTCTTTCAGAGGCCGTCTGTGGAGGGCTTCTGTCCTGTTCTCTGTCTTCTCCTGCTTCTGATGTCTATCGTGTTCGTCCTTCTGAATGAGGATTGAACATCTTCCCTAGGGTCTTCCTTGTTATTTAGCTTCTTTAGGAGTACAGATTTTAGTATGTTTATCCTATATTATATGTCTAGTATCCACTTATAAGTGAGTACATACCATATGTGTCTTTCTGCTTCTGGGATACCTCACTCAGGATTATCTTTTCTAGTTCCCACCATTTGCCTGTGAATTTCATGATTTCTTTATTTTTAATAGCTGAGTAGTATTCCATTGTGTAAATGTACTACAATTTCTGTATCCATTCCTCTGTTGAGGGACATCTAGGTTGTTTTCAGATTCTGGCTATTACGAGTAGAGCTGAAGTCATTTAAGCGATTCCATGGGCTCTGGGCCATGGAATATAGAAAATAACCTATTCCCATAAAAACAAGGTCACAGACACTGGCCGTGACTAGATTCTCCATGTCTATTTTCTCTACATTAAAGATTTTTCTTTTTTTTTCTTTTATTTTTTATTAGCTACATTTTATTAATTCTGTATCCCAGCTGTATCCCAGTCCCTCATTCCCTCCCAATCCCTCTCTCCTTCTCTCATCTCCTCCCTCCCTCCCTCTCTCATCTCCTCCCTGCCCCTTTCCAAGTCCACTAATAGGGGGGACCTCCTCCCCTTTCATCTGACCCCGTTTTTATCAGGTATCTTCAGGACTGGCTGCAAAGTCCTCCTCTGTGGCCTAGCAGGACTGCTCCTCCCTTGGGGGGTAAGATTCTTCAATAATCAGTTAAAATGATCATTGTTAACATTTATTCCACTGTTGTTCCTTCACAGTAAAACTACGGAGTGAAGCATCTTTTGCTATGGTCTGGATCAAAATTAGCTCTGGTATGGTGACACATGCTTTTAATCCCAGCACTTGGGAAGCAGGCAGATCCTGTGAGTTCGAGGCCAGCCTGGTCTAAAAAGTAAGTTCCAAGACAGCCAGGGCTACACAGAGAAGCCTTGTTTTGAAAAACAAACAAACAAACAAACAAACAAACAAACAAACAAACAAATTGCCTCTGGTCCACCTTTTTCTCAGAATGCCCTTCCCAGGGCACTTGTCAGTCCTTCTCAGGTGCACTTTGTAGCTCTCTCAGAAGACTTACGCATTCTCCCAAGTGCCTCGGCAATTTGTGCATATGGCTTAATTCTGTCCCTGGATTGTAAGATTATTGCACTAGTTCATCTTCTTAACCCCCAAACCCAACCTTGGTAGCAAAAATTCATATGGCAAACCTTACCTTAGCCCTAACACTAGTTTTATTTAGTTATTTCCCTTTTGTTTTGAACCAAGGTCTCTTTCTGTTACCTGGTCTCACTTCAAACTCACGGTAAGCCTCTGCCTTGGCCTCCATGTCATGTGTTGGGATTATAGATGAGAGCCACCTTATCCTGTCCAAAACTACTTTCATGGTAAATTTCTTTGGTTTGAGCAACTTCAGTGATGAAAAATCTTTGAAAGCTACTGGAAGCATTTTCATCAGCCACAAATTTAAAGGAAGTCCAATCATTTTTTTTTAATCTAACCTAAAAACAACCAACCAGCTAACACCACCACCAACGCCCCCAAACAACAAATAGAGAGACAGGAAAAAGGGAATTGGTATCAGTCTATGGCCTCTCTGGACCTCAGCTATAGAACTTTTAACTATTCCTACAACCTTGCACAAAACAATTACTAGCTAGCAGAAGTAAGTTGAGGTACTATAGGTAATGTAGACCTAGCCAGTGAGCTAAGGATGGGCAGGCAGAAAACTTGGCTTATCCTCCCAGCAAGTGAACTAGTGCAGCTAATTTCCCTGGGGGGTCAGGAAGAGAGGGAGAGGGAGAGAGAGAATGAATGAAGGAGATTTCCTGTTCTATCTGTATTCTGTGATTGGATTGTTGTGAAAAACAACTAGCCTAGAAAATTGTCTTCTGTCAACTTCAACAGTGTCAGAGGTTTGTATTCCTTGAAGACAGTTTTTCCATGTGGTTAATTAGATTATACTCTGCCAAGAGGAAGGCTCCTGGAATGTACAACACAGAGAAAAACCACATCATCTGAGAGATTATCCAGGCAAGTGTTCGTGTGCTTTGATTTACTTTACATATAGGGAATTTTGAAGGAGAAATTGGGAACTATTTTCTTTTCTTTTCTATCTATCTATCTATCTATCTATCTATCTATCTATCTATCTATCTATCAGAATTGGGTCCGTTGCGCCTTTAGCGTCTCTAACAGTCAAGCTGGCTGGGTTAATTATCAAGACAAATGCTGCCGTGCGTTTCTTTTATGTCCATGTTTTTGCATCACATCCTCTGGGACTGGAGTTGCAGACGGTTGTTAACGACCACATGCAGTACTGGGAATGGAACCTGGTCCTCTGGAAGAGTGGCCAGTGCTCTTAACCACTGATCCATCTCTCCAGCCCATGTACTTATTCTTTGAAATGAAGAGTTCAAGAATTTTCATCAGCTTAAAAGTTGAAATTTAAAGTGCAGAATTAAATTCACCTCTCCAGGGCCATAAATAACCAAAGTAAATTCTTTGCAGAAAGAGCACTGCTGGGGGGGGGGGGGGGGAGAAGCACATTATACCTGACTTCAAATTATATTACAAAGCCACAGTGACAAAAACAGCATGGTACTGGCAGAAAAACTGGCTCGCAGACCAACAGGATGGAACAGAGGACTAAAAATAAACCCATGCAGTTATATGGCCACCTAAATTTTAAACAAAGATATACAAAATATGCTGGAAAAAGGTATTCTGTCCAACAGATGGTGTTGAAAAAAAACTGGATATCTATCTATAGAAGAATGAATTTAGAACCATATCTCTAATCTTGCACAAAAATCAATTCAAAGTGGATCAAAAGACCTTCATTTAAAACCTGGAACACTGAAGCTGTTGCAGAGAACTGTTGTATGAGGAATGAACTTCAAGACACAGGCAAGGACTTTCTGAACAGGACTCCAGTGGCACAGAAGCAGTCTCAGGAATAAATAAATGGAACTGTATGAAATGAAAAAGTTTCTGCACAGCGAAGGAGATCAGCAGCAGCGAGAACAGACAGCTTATAGAATAGAGAGAATCCTTGACAGCTACATCTCAGACAAGAGGTGAATTTCTAGACTATGTAAACAACTGCAAAAGTTAGAAACTCCAAAACCCTGCCAATCAACGCAGGGACTAACAAAATGACAGGCCTGACCTTCATCCAGAAGTCGACGGCAAAGAGAGATGAAAGGAAGATTTCTAGATGCCTGTTTTCTCACATAATCTCCCAAAGGGGAGAAATTTGTATTCAAGAAATTTCCAAATAATTAACATAGATCACCCTGTTAATACCTTTCTTTTTTGAAAGCTAGGAAAATAGCAAGGTTGAGAGGGTCTCCTGGTTATGGGGCAGAGATGTTGTCTCTTCCCAGACAACCAGAAATTCCTGGGAAGGGTCTTGGAAGGGCCACGTTCTTTCTGGACATGATGTGGGGAAAGAGGAGCCCTTATTTACTACTCCTGGGAATGTACACCAGTAAAGGCATTATGCAACCAGTATGGAGTTTTCTCAAAAAAAAAAAAAAAAAAAAGGAACTACTAGATTACCCAGATCTACCCCTCCTGGATACGCAACTACTCAGAGCACCTAAACTGCCATTATCACTACATCATTCACAACAGCAAGGGGTGGAGCCGGCCTGGAGGTCCGTCACTGGATTAATAAACAATGAAAACTTGCTCTCACACCACACAAGTTTATTCAGCTGTAAAGAAAACTGAAATCATAGCATCTGCAGGAGAATGCATTAATCTGGGAACTATGTGAGACAACTCAGACTCAGAAAGATAAAAAAACTACATGTTCTTTCTCACATTTGGATTCTAGCTTATGGTGTGTGTGTGTGTGTGTGTGTGTGTGTGTGTGTATACAAGATCACGAGAGGAGGGAAAGGAGAGGAAGGTGAGGGACTAGGACACAGGTGACAAGAAAGGAGGCTATGGGAGTGGGTGAAGGGGCACAAGAGGTCACAGAGGTATGAGAGAAGAGGCATAGATGATCAACAACAATTTTTTTTTTCTTTCTGAGAAAGAGTATCATGAGGTAGTTCTAGCTGGCCTGGAACTTGCTATGGAGAGCAGATAAGGCTTGGACTCACAGAGGCCTTTTGAGTGCTGGGATTAAGTGTGTTATCATCATGGCCAGTGTACAAAAACAAATTTTAAACAAAAATGTCAGAATTACACCCAATATTATATGTGCTAATTAAACTAAAGCAAAACTAATTCCCCTTTTGGTACCAAGCTCAGATTGGTGATTGAATAAGCCAGTGCCCCGGGAGTAGGGGAAAATCTGGGTGTGTCTCCAGGTCTTTGTTACTGGCTATCCACATAGACCTGGGCAAGGGATGTCCTCCAGCCCTTGATTTGTTTGCCTATAAAACAAGTGGAATTCTGAGTTGCAAAGACTGGTCCTCAGATGGTTTCAAGTTTCTTTTATAAAGTTTTTGTGGGCATGAGCATATCAAGATGAAAGGCTTATCCAAGTTCTAAGGCTCAGTCCAATCCACACTTCTCCTCTTGGGCACGTCTACTCTGCACACGATTTTGGACTCTGGGAACTCTCTTTATAGAAACCGTTCAGGTCAGAGTGTATGGTGTACAAAGGTATCTCTGTTATTTGGAGAAAGAAAATGTTTTTCAAGTTTGTGGCCTTTCTCAAAGGTTAGTTTGCACATTTCCCCATGGCACAGCTACCAAACATGCAACTTTGGACTCTGTCCTTTGCTGTCTCAGGAACTATTTGAGGTCAGCGTGTAACTCTGTGTCACGTAGAAAGAAATCTCAGGGATTCAAACAAAACAAAACCAAACCTGAAACATTTTGGTTTAAAACCATGTCTCATCTTAATGCTAGTGAGGGCTTTTGGTTCCCTGGGGTCAAGTCTGATTTGGACATAGGAACTTCAGTATTATTATCCATGTAGACATGGTGTCATGTGTCAGGCCATATCATGTGCATTTGAAAGCTGGAGGGCTGCAGTGTGGCCACAGCGTTCAGTGTGCTGTGTAAAATTACCTTCATGCTAAGGCAACATGAAACACAAGTAAACTCCTTGGACCTGTATCCTTAAGGTGGTCCACGATACATGCGCAAATATTCCAAAAAAACCCTGAGATCTGGACACTTCTGGTTCTGAGCATTTCAGAGCTATAGGTAGCGTAGCTGAGTTTCTGACTCTATTACAAGACCAGCTCAGTCTCTTTGTCAGTCCAACTGTAAGCCCTCTGCTGTCCCCCAAAGTGGAGCAAGGGAGTCTAGGCAGGATGTGCTGCAGGGCTTCCCGGGGTGGGACCCAGGTCAATGTATTGATGATTTTGTTCTGAGAAACCTGGCAACAGAACAGGCTTATGGGAGCTTTCCAGTCCGAAAGCATGAAGTTTACAGAGATCACTGGGAAGTGTCTTCAAAGGGCCAGGCCCTTAGCATCATTTGCTGCCTTTACAATCACCTCTTTGCTTTCCAACTTTTGTTTGAAGCTTCTGCTTTTGGTATTATGGATTTTATGTCACGTGTGACAGGCTTATAAACTTCCCGGTTTCTTAGAAGTAAATGGACATTTTGACTCTTGGGAGCACCAGGCAAACTGCTTGGCCTGTCTCGGTTTCCTGGGCTATGAATGGAAGGGTACAGCAGACAGATTCTTGACTCTTTGAAGCTCTGAAACGAATGTCTATGCAAGAAAGAACGTGGGCTTTGAATGTGGATCTAGGCCAGAGATTTTGCCTCAGTTTCCTCAACCATACAACAGAGGCATGCTCTTCAATTTAGCAGAGTGTTAAAACCATCGACTACAGTGTTTGGCACACACGGGCATCCCAAAGACTTGGGACTTCTAGACCCCTTCCTCTTCTGTATTGCCACTAATGTCTTCCTAGCCTACCGGTGGCTAGGCTTCTCCTTAGTGATGGTGAGAAGCAACCGCCGCGCCAGTACAGAGACATGAGGGTGGAGTTCAGAGACTTAACTGTTGGGAGCTGAGGAAATGAAAGGATGGAGACAGGATTGCAAGCCTACCAAGGTCTAGGAGGGATCCGCTGCAGTTCTCATTCAAGACCCTCTGGATTTTAATGTAAACGTTTTACGGATTTGGAGGTGGATCCTTTCTGTTAACCCCAAGTCTTCGGAGGCTGTGGGCATGAAGCTTTGGATCTGCACTGTTCTGGTTTATAAGTCCCATGCTAACCCCTATATGTTGTGAGGATTAAAATCAACACTGTGCCTATACAGTGGTTCCTTGGATAAATATTGGGCTGGTGGGTGGGAACTACCTCAAGCGGAACACGGATACATATTTCGTCTCTAAACAACACAGGGTAAGAGCGAGTGGCTTAGTACTCAATATCGTGTCAGCTCTGAGTAACCTGGACCCACACTGAAGACTGGGGTGCTTAGCACAGTGCCTGGATAGACTTTACATCTGATGATCCTAAAGAGTATTAGCGAACGTCGTACGCCTCGAAGGGACCTCTTCTTCCGCCTTCCCGGCCTCCCACCACCCTGTCGGCCCCGCAAGCCAAGGCGACGAGTCCCCCCCCCCCCCATCGGGGCCAGGGCGGGCGGTCTGCAGCTCACCTGGGGAGGCCAGCAGCACCTTCGCCCCGCAGCACTGGAAGCAGTGCAGCAGGGACTTGCCACGGATGTTGTAGTTGAGGCACGCCAAGGGACAGCCCAGCTTGAGCAGCCCCAGCCAGAGCCACACGTAGGCCGGTTCGTTGCCCATGAAGAGGGCCACGCAATCCCCCTGTTGCAGGCCCAGCTGGTCGTGCAGCGCCCGCGCTACTTGGCTGCTGCGCCGGTCCACCTGGGCGTAGGTGAGCGTCTCGTCGCGGAACAGCAGAAAGGGCTTGTGCGGGGTCTGGCGCGCCCGCTCCAGGAAGACCCGCAGGAGCGTGCGCACCGGCCGCCGCTGCCGGTAGCTGCGCGTCTGCCGGGCCAGGTTGGCCACCCGCAGGAAGTACCGCAAGTCCTGGAGGAGGTAGGGGCAGCAGCAGGTGAGCAGCAGAGGCAGCAGCAGCAGCCCCGCCAGGCCGGTGTAGAGCACCGGCAGCATGGCGGCGGCGGCGGCGGGGTCCCCGGTCCCCGCCGGGGCCGAGGGAGCGCTCGAGGCGTGCAGCGCGGCGGCGGGGCGGGCGGGCGGGCGGGAGAGCGAGCGACGGAGCGGGAGCTGGAGACCGGACTGGGTCGCCGGACGCGCTGCGACTGCAGGTGCCCGCGGCTCGCGCGACCGCGCGGGCGGGACGGCCGCGGGTCCCGCCCCCTCGTGGGGGGCCTCGTGCGCTCAGCGGGCCGCCCCTTGCCGGCCTGGGTGGCCCGGGAGCCCAGAGCACCCGTGGTCAGCGGAGTCAGGTGAGATCCGGCTCTCTGCGAAGGATGCTAGGCGCAGGGAGCCCGCGGTGGAAAGGTCGGAGGCGGCGACTCACGCGCGGTGCCCTCGTAACTCATTCTCAGCCCGCAGCGCCTTGGTGGGACCCAGGGCCTTCCGAACGCACCGCGACCCTATTATTAACCGCGGGCGCCAGGTGCCGCCGCCGCCCCGGAGTCCCACCTCCTCTCCTTGGTCCCCGAGGCTTTCCGCCGCCGGATCTCTCTTTGTTTCTCCCGTTTGCTTCAGGCTGTCTCCTGAGGCGAAGGTTTCGAGTTGAACAAAAGCGCCGGAGATGGTCGTTTCCAGGCCCTGCCGCCGCCGCACCTGCCAGCTGCTGGAGGCGAAATGAAGCCGTGGGGTCGTGTTAATTTGCTTTGAGATTTTGTTCTGTTAAGTGATCCTCTTTCCCAGCCTTCACAGTGCTGTGGACCCAGTTAGGCCGTACAGTTACAAAGAAAAACATACAGAGCAAACTAAGTAAACACTGACATTTCCAGGAGACATTTCCTCAAGAAGCGAGATTTTTGTATTAACCTCCCGAACGTGCTGGCACTGCACAAAGGCTAGCATGCTTGCTACCAATAGGACCAGCTTCTAAGTAAAGATGTGCTTGGGTGTCAGGGTCTCCTGTCCCGTGCTCATCCATCTTGTTCAAGACAGCCACCTAAGGTGGTGGGAGGGGAACACCAATCCGCTCACAAAACTTTTGAACCAAAATTGACCCTACCTACAAGATGGGCATAGATGAAGATAGAGACTGATGGAACTAACAGCCCATCCTGGCCCAACCTGACACCCGCCCTGTGGGAGAGGGCCAACCCCTGACATCGTTAATAATGGCGTTGTTTACAGACAGGAGCCTGACTCAGCTGTTCTCTGAGGGGCGCCCCAGCAGCTGGTGGAATCAGATGCTGAGCCTCACAGCTAAACATGAGGTGGAGCTCCCGGAGTCCAATGGAAGAGTGGGAGGGAAGGATAGATGGACCCAGAGGGGACAAGAATGCTGCAAGAGACGCACGGTGCCTGACAGAGAAGGAAGCACCAACAAAAGAGCACACATGGACTAGACCGCGGCCCCGTACACACATGTGTGGAATGTTTGATCTTCACATGGGTTCCCTAGTAAGTTGAGAGGGTGCTGTCTACGACACGGACTCTATTGCATGCTTTCAATCACTTTGCCCTGGCTGTGCTGCCTGGCCTGGCCTATAGTGGATGAGGAGGAGCAACTTAGTTCTGATGAGACTTGATGTGCTGGGGTGGGTTGACCCCCCCCCCCCGTCCCCTTTTCCTGAGGATAAGGGGAGGGGGAAATGAAGAGGGTAGGAGAGAAGGACCAGGAGGAGAGGAGGGAGGGGGCTATGATCGGGATGTAAAGTAAATATATAAATGAAAAATAAATAAATAAAAAAGAGAGTTCTCCTCAGACGATTCTTTCATGCTCGTTCACTGACAAGGAAGGGAAGTTCTGAGAGGCAGGGACGGTGATTCTTGGTCGTGACAGGACCACTGCTGGAACTCACAGCAGCCGGGTTTCCTGCATAAGGCCTGGAAGGGGCTCACCTCCCCACCCACCTTGGCCAAGGCATGACAAGAGAGGTGACTGGTAGAGGAGTACAGATTGGACTGAGGAATGTTGAAAAAAGAAGAGCCCATCGAGGTGAGAGGGGGTGGGTGGAGGTTGGATCGGGGAGGAGCTGGGGGTGAAATGATCAGAATATGCTGTATGTGTGTGTGGAATTCTCAAAGAATAGGCACTGCTATTATACCAAAAAGGTAACGTCATGCTCGAGGTTTGAAACAGGAGCCTGCTTTGTCCCTGGTCATTAGCAACTCTGTCAGCACCGGAGTCACAGCGTCATTTTGTCCTCTTATTCTCTAGGTTTCTGCCTGTATCTTCTTTTTATTTCCACTACTGGAAAAAAGCCCTTCATGGCCTTCTGACCTCTTTTAAATTCTTGGGACCACCTCAAGCAGCCCTTTCCCGTGTCCTGACTGTCTTCCTGGTCTAGCTCTCATCCAGTGGATGTTTGCATCAGTTCCCTGAGGTCCCGAGGGCCTTTCACCATCCCTGAGGAGAGGGCAATAGTGTTGAGATCTGTAAGCAGGCATCTCTACGGCCAGCCCCAAGGGACCTGACGAACTGGTTAGCTGGCATCTGTGAGGCCACCTTGAAGATCACCCGATGGCCACCGGAAGCCACCTGCGCATGCTCTGAGTCACCTTATAAGAGAACTCGGAGCTCCTCCTCTCTTTCTTTTTCCCTCCTGCCTCGTCCAGAGATGGTCTCGGCGACCCCTTTCCCTTCCCCTAATTAACCTCCCACGTGGAACCTGAACCCGCCGTGTGTAACTCTTATCCCCGCACGATTTCTAACATTGGTGCATTTGGCCGGGGTAGGTACCTCCAGCCGCCACACCGCATGGGGAGTGCCGGCACCCCACTGGGGCTGCTGGAGACCTATTTTGTTCCAAATCTGCCGGTGACCCCCACTTTCCGGCAACCAGATCGCTACCTCGACATCCAACACTGACTAAATTGGTGAGTTCCCCCTATTGGTCAGCATAAACATTTCTCTGGGTAAGGGAAGAGTGATCGTTGAGAGTCTGGCAACTTCCCACTGCCCTTTGAGGCAGAGGACCCCCCAACCACTGTCTTTACTGGCTACGGTTGACCCTCTTTGCTGGACCTCCATCTCCATTAGGGCCCCACTTTCTCTTGGGAGAGCCTCTCACTCACGCTTGGTCTATTCTCCCCCTCTCTTGCTCGTTCAGAGAAGTCCTAGTGCTGGGCAGACCGTGCTCTTCGGCCGTGCTCTCAGGCATCTGCGCCCTAGCCTCTGGCCAAAAGCTGATGAGCTATTGGATCAAGTAGGACCTCTTGTCTGAGTCACACCTTGCCTTTGGGACGCCTCTGGAAGGTCACTGACGTCTCTGCTTCCCAAAGGAAAAGGCCCAGATATCCGTTCCTCCAGCGTCCCCACTGGGATGTCTTCTGGAGAATTTTAAAACATTACACATGGAGCCTGAGTTAAAGGCCTCTAAGCTCATATGCATCTGTAATAAGACTTGGTGTAATGAGCCTGTAAGACAGCAAAGCTGTCAGGAGCAAAGTTAAGAGACATTTTTGGTGACAGTGACTGGGCAACGCCCCTAAGACATTGAGAGCTTGGAATACAGCAGAGCTGTCAAGGATAGATAAGAAGATATTCGTAGTAATAGTAACTAAGAATGCTCTTAAGGCAGCTGGCGTGTGTGTGTGAAAGAATGATAAGTTAAAGCTATGCCCTGAAAAATGTATAAAAACTGGAGCCAGAGCCCACTCGGGTGCGGCAGGCCAGACTCTTTGGTGAATATGCCGAGAGACTGCCACTAACCAGCCAATTCCCGAATGGCTGTTTGAAAAGCCCAGACCACCTTAACAAACCGGTTCTGAAAGGACCACCTTATCAGACCGGCCCTGGAAGGCGGCTCCCGAGCAACTGCAGCTTCCTCCGCATCTGAGGCCTGGCCAGAGCAGAGAAGCTCCGAGGCCCATCAAGTCATCAGAAGATGCATCTGAGGTCCGGTTGGAACTGCGAAGTTCCGGGACCTAGAAGACAGCTGAAGCCGGAGGCAAAGTGTCTGGGCCCGTACCTGTGGCCAGGTTGTGTTCCCCATAGGATGTATAATGTGCTATGCAACTCTTAGATATCTGTGTGATTAGTGGGATTAAAGCAGCATTCAAAAATCATCCTGGTGTTGGTTTTTATCAGTACCTTGCCGCCCTTTGTGGCATCTCAGTTAAAGTCCTCCGGCATAATTAAGCGCTCGTGACACTTGGCCTACATATTCTTTAGGTAAGGGTTTAAATTGGCCGATTAATGGCACATTAAATCCCAATATTTTATGGGATCTTCTTAATTACTGCCAGCAATCTGGTAAATGGAAGGAGGTACCCTATGTTCAAGTTTTTTCTCTTCTCTGCTCTAAACCTTCTCTCTGCTCTTCCTGTCCTCAACCTCAGGAGTTCTCTACCTTTGACCCTGCAGATGAACCTCCACCCCGCCGTTCTCAGCCTCCAGCTTCTCCAAAATCCTCACAACCTCTAGTGTCTTCTCCTTCCTCTCCTACCCCAGCTTCTTCCTCTTCAGCTTCTTCAGAATCCTCACAACCTCAGGCGTCTTTCTCCTCCTCTTCTAGCCCTTCCTGTTCTCCTTAGGCTTCTCCAAAATCCTCATCCCATTCCCCAGCAATAGGCTGTCCTAGTCGCCTCAATCTGGCACCCACTTTCACCCCACCAACAACTATTAGCCTCCCCCGCTACCCGTTCTCGTTCTATAGCAAAGTCCGCTCCGTCTACTCAGCAGAGCCAGCCTCAATTCTTCCCTTGTGGGAAGTAGCTGGTATAGACAGCTTAATTAGGGTGCATGTTCCCTTCTCATTAGCTGAACTTTCTCAAGTAGAAAAGAGATTAGGATCCTATGCCTCTAATCCTTCTATTTTCATTAATAAATTTCAATATCTCACTCAATCTTAGTCTCACCTTCCATGATATGTATATATATATATATGATTCTTACCAATAACCTATTACCTGAGGAACGCAGGCAAATTTGGGAACAGGCTAGAACGCATGCATATGAGGTTCACCAAACAAATGCTTCACACCTGGTTGGGGCTGAGGTGGTACCCGACCAGGATCCACAATGAAATGATAATACTCCAGAAGGCATTTTATCCAGAGATCAATTCACGACCCGCCTCCTGGCTGGTCTCCGCCAGGCGGCCCATAAGTCAGTTAATTATGAAAAGCTCCAGGAGGTCATTCAGGACAGAAAAGAAAACCCGT